TGACTCCAGGAAAACACAGTTTTCCTTTTGAGCTGAACCGTTCAGTGGAATTTGCATGTTTGCATGGTTCACAGCGGATTCAGGGACATTCGTTTCTCAGGCACAGTTTACAGTGAAGATTTCACTAAGTGAATTCTCAGGATTGTCATCAGGAAACCAGATGATGACATTGGCATAGATTTCAGTTTCGACAGTGCCAAAGGCAAGTTGCTCAGGAGCTTATCAACTCCGTTGAGAGAGTGCTCGCATCAGGACGCTCACACTCCAGTTGTTTTGTTCTGTTGTGTGTGTGTTTTCTTTTCGTGTAGCCCGGGCCGGCCGCGCAGCGTTTGCCAGCAATGGATGAACTTCTCATCATGGTTCTATGTGCTGCTTTAGCTGGAATGATCATTGGATCCTTGTGGCCCTGGGGACAATTGTGACATTCTGGTGTTGTGGAACATTTGACCGCCGTACAGTTGGTGGGAGGATTAGCCCAGAGTTGGAAAATGCTTTGATTCAAGCTGGATATGGCCAGGGTATTTCAGGTGAGACACCAGGATCGATTCAATAGTGAGTGATCCGGTTGCCTCTTCTTTCCGACTGCATGTTGGGAATGCTGGAACGAGGTATCATACTGATAGTCTTTGTGGATGCTATCCTGACAATGTCAAGAGAGAACTTTCAATTTGTGAAATTTGTCGCAATTCATCTACGGCTTTTGAAATTGGGCAAGGTATTTTTGTTTCTGAACAAGGACAGAAGTTTCATTTGACCCGATATTGTCGTACTTTCAAGAATCCTCGAGTGACTGAATATTTGAAGTGCACTGCATGTGGTACACCTGGAGATTCTATGCGAGATTCAGTACTTCGTCCGCGAAGAGCTGCTTCTTGGACTTCAGATACGCCAGGATATCTGTCTCCGTCTGCTGCAGAAGTCAGTTAATTTTGTCTGGAATGGGATGGGACGCCATGTGCATTTCTGGAATGCATATGGACTGCACTACGTTTGGTTTCCATTCTGACCTCTCATCGAAAGGGGGTGTGAAAATATACATCAGTGGTCGCTGAGAGATCAGTTGCACGTGCATGACTTCGTATTTGGTTGTGTTGATGGTCGACAACATTGTGAATGAGCGCATCACATTGCGTAGTTGAGATTTTGCTGAATATCATCTTCGGATGATCTGTTTTCGATGTGGAAAGCTCGTAAATGGAAGTATCATACTGCATAGTTGAGATTTGAGCGATTATCATCTGTGAGCGACAGATTTATCACGCTTTTCCATGCTCAACGAGCATTATGATGGTCAACGAGCACAACCGACACTGGGGTTGCACTCGTTATGCTTTGTAGTTGAGAGTTGTGATGTTTTTGTAGGAAACCGAACTTTATTCGAACCGTTTGGAAACATTGCAACTGTTTTTAGAAGAGAATGAAAGCTTTTAGGAATTTCGTCAAGACTGGAATCCAGTTTGCCGTTTGCACAAAAACCACTCCTTGGTTTTTGTGACCTTTGAACAGTATTTGAACTGAATACCCAACGATACTCGTTGGCTCAAGCCCGAGCGAGAGAAACAGAGTGTGTGTTGAAGCGTTGCTTGTTGTCTGGAGTGATTTGAGCGAGAGAGCACGGAAAGCTTGACTCAGGTTTGTTTGAAAGCTTTTGGGTAACTTTGATCGCGATAGGTTTTGCTTTGGTTTTCAAGGTACAACTTAGCGGTGCAAAGTTTTACGCGTTTCACCTGTTTCACCTTTTTGTTTTAGGCTGGTGCTTTCTTGTCCCTGGATTGGTCAGGACTGCACTGACTTTCATTTTATTTCTCACTCTGGTGCTGGTAATTACTCTGGATTTTTTTGGACTAGGTCTCCCTGGGTTCCCTGGTTGTTCCTGAGTCAGCGTTTGCCGTTGTGATTTTAATTTGCACCTGTGACTGTTTTGCTTGAATTTGTTGCTATCTATCACTGCTCTCTTGTCCCTGGATTGGTCAGGATTGCTTTGAACTTTTTAGCGAACGGTGTGAACCAAAGAGCTCTGTCTGAACCTCAGCTTTTCAGAATTTTGCACCTAGTTATCTGGTGCTTTCTTGTCCCTGGATTGGACAAGATTGCCCTTTCAAAATCCACTTTGAATATTTTGCGTCTGTGTTTCAATAGAGCCTTGGACCCCGCTAAAGCATCTACTAAGGCACCTGCAAGCATTTCCTGCTGGCGGTACCTTCTTGTCCCTGGATTGGTCAAGTCGGTTCTGCCCGCTGGAACTCACCTGCTCTGGCTAAACAGTACTAAGGCCTTCTTCTTTGGGTGGGTGCTGTTTTTTGTTTTGAGTGTGGTGCCTGGGGGTCGGGTGCTGGCTGGCTGGGGTGCCCCCCGTAGCCGGCCCGAGCCATGGAACTGATGGTGACCCAGCAGAGCTTAGCCCTGGTCATTGCACTTGCAGTTTCCCAGTGCCTTGCTCTGCTGTGTGTCTCTCAGTGCGCCCTGGCTGTAGCAAAGCCTGCACACATGGTCTTCGCTGCGTTGCGCAGGTGCCTGCTGACAAGGGCATCACGTTCCCAGTGGACGATGGGTCCAAGCGCCTTACAGTCTTTATTTCAATGCGAAGTCATTGTTATGCTGACCGCACTGCTGACTCCCGTAATCAGTTCGACAAGAATACAAACGACGAGCACCCCCTTTGACTGCATGATGCTCTCTTGTCTTTGAATCTGGGCACAATTGTGGCGGTATGATACGAAGTTGTCTATTTGCTGCAGGCTCCGGATTCTGCTCGGATGTGCTGCCTCCTCGCCCTAAGTGGTAGTGGAGTGACTCACTTCTTGTCTCGGAACCTCGGTTTCCTTGTTTGTTGGCATCGGCAGTGTCTGCTTGTCGACCGGATTATGCTGACGCTCCCTGCTTTGGAAGGTGGAGATACGAAACTGTCTCCCACAGTTGAGGCACCAATACCTCTACGAACTTTTGTGGCCACTCGGTGGCCTTGGCCCCCCCATGGGGGGCTGAAATCCACAGGCTCCCAGCTTTTTGGATACTGCATGTGAGCTGCATTGGGCAATGGGTGATACAACCTGTCGGACGCTACCTGCTGGTCCGTGGTATCGAGATGATTCGACAAGAACTACTGAGAGGACGCTGAGTGACCTGCGACTTATGTTTGTACAGTTGTAGCTCATGTTGTAGTATCATCCTCTTTGCAGTGCTGCTCTTTTTAACACGAATTTGTTTTGGACTTCGTCCGCAATTAGTTTGATTTGCATGTTCTTTTTTCGGGCATTGCGGGGTTGATGGCCCCCACAATGTTGTTGGTGGTTTTTTGTGGTGTTTTGCATTGGGCCCTGGCCCCGTTCTGCTGTTGTTTTGGTCTTTTTTGCGTGGGACGATACGCAAATCTGGCTGGGGGATTTGCATTTCGTCTTCCCGCCGGTTGCTGGTTTTTGTGTTTGTTTCGATGTTGCCACCGTAGTCTTTGGATTGTACGGCTGTGTATTGGTTAGCCTGGTCCAACGTTTTGCCGCTTTAATTCGTTTATCCAGCTTTAAGGACCGAGCCTCTGAGCTATATCGGCCGCACTCCGAGTAAAAAAACCTACAGAAAAGGTTTCGAATACCTAGAGCTATGGAGGTGGTTTTCCCCCAATGGGATTCTCACGAACCGAAGGGGTCACGGTTTGCGAGGTGATGATGGTAGCACCTGGCACCTATACCCATTCCAAGAGATGGGAAAACAATTCTGATCTGGCTGCAGGTGTGTTTTCGTTCCAAAGATGATAGTTGTTCAACAGAGTCAGCAGTTAAACTTCCAATCAGCATGAAGGCAATGAAGTATCCTGGTCGCTGATTGCGGTTCCTCTTATTTTCCCAGGAAGAAACCCACGACCACGCTGAGATGGATGCGCCATCAAGATTTGTATCTATAGCGAATCCCACCAGTTAGGACATGGAGATGTGTAAAGCCTAGGATACCATATAAATGGGTAAACAAGCATCCCAAACAACTAGCAGTTTTGATGTGAAATCGTGGGTTTTGATCCATACTCTGCCAATATCCTTTAAGGAGATGGATTCTTCCATTGTGACTTGTTCTGGTAAATGAAATCGACTGCTCGCTGCAAAAAAGGTGAGGTTCATAGGCGCCTTTTTTTGGTCAATGAGAACCCCCATTCAGATCCCAATCCAACAGTTGACTGGGGTTTCTTGGTTCATTGTGGAACTATACAAATGACAATGGGACCCCCTCTAAAGCATCCGAGACGAAGCTGCAAAAAGGAAACAATAGAAATATCACCTGCTTTCACCGACTGGACAGATGGTTCAATGCTTTAATTTGTTCCCATAACAAATGGGGATATTGTGGCTAAACGGTGAAACAAACACCATGCATTGCCATGGTTCACCATAAACATCAGCAGTATAGGTGCCCTGTATATTTCCACAGGATTTTCGGAGCCATAAGTGTACCCTGAGAAGACACATTTTGCAGGTGCCATGATCGTTTTGTGATAGGAGAGGCGGCATGAAACAGCCATTGGCTATAGAAAAAAAACATTAAAAAACCTGACAAAACATCAAAACGCTTTGGAAGAGAGAGTGTGCAAAGTGGGGCATTCCCCTCTGGTAAACTAACATAAACATGAAAATTCACCATTTTTCATGGGTAAATCCACTATAAATGACCATTTTCAATAGCTACTGTAGGTTAAATTACCAGAGGGTAACCGAATAACAAATATGGTTTTCACGCAACAGAATGGGTTTATTCAGCCATGTTGCTGGTCATGGACTTCGCGGGCGCACAGACACAGTGATTCCAGTGAACGAAATACACCAACTCAAATCAGGCAAAACATTCTTGGCAGAAACACTCAGGGACATCAACCAAACCCTTCCTTTTTAAATAGTCATCCGCACTCATGAATCAACCATGAATCAACCATGAATCAAAAGGATACTAAGGGTAGATACCATATCCACCAACTAAGGGAAATATCAACCATAATCAATTAACCATTATCGTTGGATGTTCCATGAAGCAAGTCCATGTGGCCGTGGCTGCCGTGGTTTCTGGTGCTGGGATGGGTTTCAGCCCAGGAGCCGAACAGATGGGTGGAGTTGATTCAGGTCCTCATTCAACAGGGAAAATTCATATCGAATACATGAGAATTCCATGTACATACACACATATACATATATACATAATGACTGACATATCTATATATATATAATTATACGTATATACATATTTAGATATAGATATAGATATAGATATAGATATATGAATATAAATAAGTAGGTATAATGGTACTTGGTATACAGATATGCAGAGATCCCCCAGATTCCGGAGATCCCTTTTTTCCGGGTCAGGATTTGCCGGATCTGCCCTTCCACTTTGAGGCCGTGACCCAGTTGTAGCTTCCCATCGGGATGGGGATATTTGATGACCCCCCGAATGGGTCAAATTACCGGGTACCCTCCGGTAGACTAACATAACCATGGAAAATCACAATTTTTAATGGGAAAATCCACTATAAATGGCCATTTTCAATAGCTATGTTAGTTTACCAGAGGGTAAAATTACGACGGCTTTTAGATCCCTTGAATTCATGGATGATATGAACGTTTTCTTGTTGCGGGATGAAAATTGGTTCCGCATTCACAACGAGCCAGTGCTTCAAAGAGGTCGAAGACCCAGAAGTAGGACTCCTTCAGCCACTGACCAGTGAGGAATTGCTGCTCAGCAGCATAAGGGTCTGGTTTCAAAAATGCTTGTGTTGATGATCCAAAAGGACAGGTTATACATATATGTATATATAATATATATATAATATATATACTGTATCCGACAGGTATTATATTATGTGTATACACATACAGACACACACACATATATATATGTAAATACATGGTGGTGGTGGGATATACACATACACATGGGGACTATCATAGTTCATAGTCCATAAATTGAGAATCCCCATGAACACCCACCATCATTTCAGGGGTTCTTAAATCCACCTCAACTCCGGAAAGCGAGGCCCAGGTGATTCCTGGTTGATATGCACAAGACAAGGAATATTCCTTTTCCAGAACGGATCCATTTCCAATCTACACGCACAGTGGACGCTTTTATCACGTTAAATGTAAGTCCATAATTAAGTCGAACAAAGAAAATGAAACCAAAATCTAAGTCCGTTTCCAAGTCCAATGTCCATTGATATCCATATCGCATCCACAGGTCAAACAATCCGATGAACTATTGATCGCCGTTAAGGTCAAACTTCTCGCTATGGGATGCAGGCGCCGCGGCTCAGAAACTCCTGTTTTTTTTTTTTGGGATTGGATCTGTTGGATCTGGTGATTTTTGGGGTTTCATTTGGTTCCTTTGTAGATATGTATATATATATATATATACCCCCTGGTAAATTAACATAGACCCTGAAAATCACCAATTTTTAATGGAAACTAGTCTTCCAACCCCTATCTGCCAGGGTCTATGTTAATTTACCAGAGGGTACATACTGTATATATATATATATATGTTTTTTCTCACCTATTCCCAATATGGTGTTCTTTGGTTCTTTGGGGGTGTTTGAACGGAAAATTGTGAATCGTTTTTGGATGTTTGAAAAGGCCAGTGGTGAACTAGGCCAGTGGTTTGGAATGTCAGGACCAACCCAGAGTGGCGAGATGAGTAGTTTGACACTTCACTTCCTCATTTACACACATACACATGTAGTATAAATGATATCCAATCCACTGTTGGGCGCCATTCTCTTGGGCTTCTCCCTGAACCAGCGAATATCGTTGCAGGTATCGATGCAGTTTGGCTGGAATTGCAGATCCAAAAGCCCCCAACGACTTCTGCCCAGACACAGGCTCCGAAAGCTGTGGCTCCACTGGTTGGACAATTTGACTCTAAACTAAGGCACCCCATTACCATGACCCGCGGATCTGGTCAGTCACAGGCCTTGCTCACGCTCACCGAGAATGGGCAGGTGGTTTTCCGCCTGCAGCTGTCAAAGGCAGGCGGTGGCCTCTCGTAATCTGACCAGGGCAGGAAAATCCCAATTTCTAGATGATTTCCCATGAAAATCATTGACCCTCCCGAGAATTTACCTGAAATTCTGGATTCCCAGCCCTGGGAAACCTTGGACCTTGGTTCAGAGGCAGAGCAAAGCACCGTTCAGCATGGAGAAGAGGCCCTGCTGACCTTGGGAAGCTCTGGCTTGCCTTCACTCTGTACCTTGAAGCTGCACATCAGCCACAAGGTCGGCCCAGCGGGCCGCGGAACGTTTGATCCAAAATCAGGTTTATTGCTAGGTGGGTTAGATCTCCATGTTTGAACCATTTGAGGTGCCATTTTTTGAAAGTGAAGCCCCGTTCCGGTAAACGGGTAGTCAGCCTGATTATCGTTTGCTGCCTAAATCGCCATGAAATCATGTTGGCATAAATCATGGATTTTACTGCTTTCATCATGTTTAAAAAATGACATTTTTAGGCTGAAATCCACTTTTATTTGACGCCTAAATGGTGGGTTTGATTTATTGGTTAAATCATGTTGAATCGACCTTTTTTCCTGCTGAAATCCCCCCCCCATCTCGTCTCCACACGAGGTGGACCTCTCCATCGACGAGCAGCCTGTGGCTTCGGTGCAGCTGGCGGAGCTGTCGAAGCTTCAGCTGCTTTGACAGAAATCCTCCATTTCAGAAATACGAAAATTGTTGCGTTTTCATGGGAAAATGTATCATCAATATTCATTGAATGTGTTTTTGTTTTGGATTTTTCTAATTTTTTCTAGATGAACTTTAAGTGGGGCTCAGAAATGAGGGATTTAAGTGGAATGTCTGGCCATTCATGGAGAGAGGAATGATGAACCATCGGATTCGGAGCACCCTGTTGTTTTTTCATCCCAGTTTATGGGGAGTGAAACCCACAGCAAAGGTGGATGTTAGCCAAGAAAACTTGGTAGTTCCTCTGTTTCTCCATTGGCAGCAAATGTGGCATGAGTAGTGACTGTAGAAAACCATGATGTCAACGATCTGGAAAGCATGTTTATTCACTACTGTCAATCACATGATATTCGGGATCTGTTAATGAACGCACAGTCATGTTGATTGGGAAAATGATCGTTGTCACTATAGTGTGAATGACTCATACCGGTAGCATCGCTTTATGAATCAACCAATGCGATTGAATAAAAATGCAAGGCAGGTGCTACTTTTTGGCGGTCCAGTGTCCCCCATGAACCAATGGGCGCATGATTGATGGATCCTGCTTCAGGCTACACCTTGGCAAAGCTCTGCGGGACGACGAGGTGTGAGTTTGGAGATGATAGTGGCATACCTTGGCGAAGGGTAGTTTAACGTTTTTTTTGGCAATACATGGGGATGTAAACACTAATATAGATATGGGTAGAATGCTAGATATGAGTGTCAATGTAATCAGCTATAAATATACTTGACTATAGATACAATTAAATATGAATATGAGTTTTTAACTGTTTAGTAAATACAATCAATTATATTATGATTATATGCATATAAAACTAGTACAATTACAGATATCTCATAGAATTGGATGATGGGAAAATTTACAGGAAAGCCCTATATTTGATGGAAAAAACAATGGTTTCCTGTAGATTTTCCCTTAAACCAATCCAGTGAATATCATAAATGGTCATATTTTTGATGTCAGAAACCGTCCATTCCAAAGCCGTTTTTGCCATCCGAAAAAATCACTCGGCGGATGCTCCACTCGCAAGTCATGGGGAAGAACCCCGGAGATCTAACCATGTGAATGGGGATTTAACCCATGAGTAGTGGATAATGTGGATATGGTCTTGTCTGAAAATGGCATATACCCATTAATTGTTTGCAATAGAGTACATCATGAATCATTAAATTTATTTAAGGGTAGCTATTTAAGACACACACACACATTTTCTCCAGGTTTTCCCAAGGACCGTCAGAGACATCCCGGAAGCATGGCCTGGAAGCTAAATCAATCCAAGGTCGAAAGGTGGGTGTTAAATTTCCCCCTCCCTTTGGAAACACATACCCTCTGGTAAACTAACATAGCTATTGAAAATGGACCATTTATAGTGGATTTACCTATTAAAAGTGGTGATTTTCCATAGCTATGTTAAATTACCAGAGGGTAAGATCATTTACATTCATTTACTGTAAATTCAAACCCAACCAGGCCTTTTTGTTACTGACTCTATCCCCACTGCAGCGGTCAGGTGGAGTTCCAGGGTCACATTTTCCAGGTGAAGCTTTGGAGCCACTCAGCCAGTTTTTTTCAGCAGCAGAAATGGAGATTTTGCCTGTCAAAACATGAGAGACTTTTAGGCAAAAAATGGAGATTTCACCAGAAAAACATGTGTAGGCAAATATGATTTAGCGAGCAAACAGTGAACTGTCAACACACTTGGAGGGCCTCCATGTGACATCCTGTGCTAATTTTGCCTGGCAGTTGGATGTGAATTGGTAACCCTGGCAAGTTCTCCTGTTCTAAAGATGATTTCACTTGTGTGTGTATGATATATGACATATATATATATGTATACAAGACGCACAGTAGATATGTATTTCATACGCATATCTGGATGTGTAAATTTACACAACATATACAAATCATCATATCATATACATATCATAGGTCATGAAGCATTTGTGTTTTCTGAACAAAAACCACGGCTCTGAGGTGAAAAGCCTCAGGACCCTCTGGCACTTCACCTGCAGCGACCGCATGGTTGTGTGGGTCCCAGGAGAACTTGTGCTTGTGAATATTGGTGCGATGGACACCTCACAGTACATGTAGATGCCACAAACATATGCTGAACGATGCAAATCAATAAATAAACATACATGGTACAAAATAATATCTACACTCATGTATGTATGCAATTGTATACAATTATATGTTGTCCGGAGATACTATATTTATAGTGGACAATTCAGATTCTTATTTCAAAGCCATTCAGTCCAATGTCCAATGTCAGTGGTTTTTCAGGACATTTTCCAGGAACCCGCTTTTTTTTAATGGATCAACAACGCGTGGCTTCCTTTACTCTACCCTCTGGCAATTTAACATAGCTATTGAAAATGGCCAGTTATAGTGGATTTTCCCATTAAAAATGGTGATTTTCCATAGTTATGTTAGTTTACCAGAGGGTAACGCGTTCCCATTTTCATCAATCCAATGAGCACAGATCCAAGGTGGGTGATATCAGTGATTCTGTGATTCTACTCCCACCTGGTGACGTGTTCCCATGAATCCAATGGTCCCCGAATTTGTTGGGAAAATCTGCTGATTGGGGCCCTATATCTGGGGGTCTAACTGATGTGAAATCAACATCAGTTATGCGAAATCACAAATCATGTCCAAAGATTTTTTTTCTCTTGATATTCTTGGACCAATCTAAATTTCTAAATCACACATCCTGATTTGGTTTCCTGCCGATTTTTCCGCATCACTCCATCCACAGCAGAGGCCCTGCCTTGCGTTCCGACACGTCACCCTGGTCCAAGCTTCGCGCCAAAGCCATGCAGGCCCCCTTAGGGATGGGCTGTGGTTTTGATGGGATCATATACCATAAATCATAGATGATGGGCATATGATTATATAATTGTATATATATATAACTATATAAATATACATATCCATTATATACATATGATATTATATATATATAAATAAATATAAATAACTATATATATATAAATAAATAAATATAAATAACTATATATATATATATACATATCCATTATATACATATGATATTATGTATATATATATATAAATAAATATAAGTAACTGTATATATATATATAAATAAATATAAATAACCATATATATATACATATCCAATATATACATATGATATTATGTATATATATATTTATAAATAAATATACATAACTATATATATATATATATTTAAATAAGTATAAATAACTATATATAAACATATCCAATATATATATACATATGACATTATGTATATGTATATGTATATATATATATATGACGAGATGGTATCAATCTAGTGATTGGTGTCAAATTATTACGAACAATAATGGATTAATGGGTGTATGATGGAAATACGATGTGTACAGGAATTGTATATGATGTCTAATAGGTATATGATGTTTCTCACTCTCATAATTCTGTTGTGCAAACCGTTTGCAGGCTAAATTTGGATGTTTGTCTGGGAAAGACGTGGTTTGAGTTTTGGTCTACGCGTGAATCCCGGTCGAAACACAGAATTGAAGGCCTGTCACTTTCGTCCGTTCATGAGCTTTTGCAAGGCTTTGGAACTTCAACTTTGACTACCCTCTGGTAATTTAACGTAGCTATTGGAAATGGCCATTTATAGTGGATTTTCCCATCAAAAATGGTGATTTTCCATAGCTATGTTAGTTTACCAGAGGGTAATTACTTCTTCTCCAAGAGTCCACCAGTTTAAGTCACGGTGGAAACCACCAGTTTTTTTCAGTTCTTTGAGGTCCCAGCATCCAGCTGCATGCACAAGAGAAACATAGAAAAGTATAGATATCTATATCATTCTATGTCTATGAAAATACACATATATACATATATTTATACACATACATAGATATAAAATGACTCATTACAATCCATGTGGCATCATCTTACTGGCCTTTTACTAAAACGGGCGGTTGCGAGGTGCTGCAGTGTGCCTTGGCCTCCAGCTGTAGCTTGAAAGCTGCTCCTGTCAGGCCAGGGCTTCGGAATCAGGGAATGTTGGGGAATGTTGGGGATGGGAGGGACTCATCCCCCTTACCCTCTGGTAATTTAACGTAGCTATTGAAAATGGCCATTAATAGTTGATTTTCCCATTAAAAATTGTGATTTTCCATAGCTATGTTAGTTTACCAGAGGGTAAACAGCCAAATTCTATGGTTATGTGGAATTTCTCACTAAACCATGGTTTCCTTTGGGGGTGTGTTATTTTTTTTTCGGAAGGGATGAATCACATGTGGAGTTGCCCAAGAGTTCCAGGAATATCAGGGCAATTTATGGAGGTCCTATTTTTTTCACGGGAATCCACTCAGCCAAATCTATGGTTCATTGGAAACCGCATATGGTCGTAGTTTTTTCGATTTTTAGCCATAGATGATGATGCAGCAGTGTTTCTACCGTTGAATCTCTTGAATATCATACGGTTGTGTGATTTTTGGCACAGTTTTAGGGACGAAATTTGACAGCCTGGGTACATCCCGGCTGGAGAAAAATTGGGGCATTGGTCCCTTGGCCAAAGCTTCAAGAATTACTTGGCTAGCTGGGTACACCATTAATGTATGTAGTATATATATATATTATACGTATATATATATATATTATACATATGTATATATATAATTAGCTCCATTATATCACCATTATTCTCCCTGTAACAGTAATCATCTCTCTGTGGATAGATCATAGAGATATCATGGGGGTATAATGGGACAATAAGAATCAACATTTGGTAATTAGCTCAATGGCAGGCCGCTGGAAAATCCACCAGAAATAGTTCGATGAGTTTCCAACCTATAGATGCCCATTGATGCTATAGGGGATTCAAAAAAGACTGGGCCACCATCTTTGATGACATCGGAGAGCATGGAAAATGGGTTTGTCCGAACATTTTCAGGAAAAACCTCAATCACTGGTGATTCATGATGTTTTCTATCACAATTGCCATAAATTGGGCTATCCTGCATTTCTTTTCAACCAATTCCGTTTACCAGAGTTTGTTGGTTGATTATATTCTCCATCATTATGTTATTCCCCATGATATTCTTCATGATATTCCCATTATCTTTCCACTGTATCCGTTATATTTCCCATTATATCGGTTAGATTCCAATTATATTCCAATGATCTTCCAATGATCTTCTGAGTATATCCGGTGTATTCCCCATTATATCCCATTAGATTGCCATTCGATTTGTGATATTCCTATTATCTCCTCATAACATGGTTGGTTTGACAGCCAATTTTAACCTGGCTCGACCTGTTTGGGGCGCAGGTACCTTGTGAGCCTCAGCGATGAGATCCTGGACCGAGCGTCTTGGTCATGGCTTGAGGGTTTACCATCCAGCCAAACGGGGCTGGCTGGGAAATCCCCTATGGTTTAGAGCTCCGAAAATCATCCACGGTTGATCGGTGGATTGCCGGAGAGTAAGCTCTCTCAGTTTTTTTGACATGGTTGAAAGCATTCGGAGCTGTCTCCTGTTTTTTGTCAATGCACCTCGAATTTAAGTGGCCATTTTCTTGGGTTTTTGGGGAAAATGATGAAGTCTAGGTTCCAAAATTTGAGATCCAATTGATGTGTGGCCTTGATAAGGCAAGCACCGACCTGAATTCACAGCGGCTCTAAGGAGATGAGTCAGTACTCCCAGGTGGGACTTCTTGGGCGACACAGCGCCAAGGGGGAACCCTCCTGTGGGAACAAACATATGGTTTTTTGCGTAGGTCTTCCAAATCCCCAATGATTTCTTGATATATCCAATGACAGCCCATGATATCCGCACAAAAAATCCCCGTTATCTCCCTATTCTCATTGTTGGTCAACAAACCCGCTGCAACACGCCGCGTTGCGGCAGGTCTCCCAGGAATGTCCACTGGGCTTTGCCCTTGCTTACGCGACACTTTTCTTTACCTCATATCTGGAGACAGAGGACGATCCTGCGTCCCTTACCGTAACGGACAGGCTACGGATTGGTGCCGGGTATGGCTTCACATTAAATCCGTAGCATCAGAATGGGGAGAGATTGTTGTGGACCGAAAACATGGACAGGGGAGAATGGGGAGATGAAGGGATATAATGGAACAGCTAGAGTGAGTCGCACTTACCAAGTTGTAATTGAAGGGATTGAAGGATTTAAGGATCCTTTTGGAAGATGCCGTGACCGTTGGTTATTTACTGATAGTGATCGGTGTGTAACCAAACCAGAATGAGGATAAAGCCATCAAACATGGGAAACACACCAGGCAACGTAGAGTTGTTTTTCAGTAGCTCACATCAAAGTCCATCAAACTGCTATGCGCTAAGGACGACTAGAGCTGTATCCAATTCCCGAGACAGCAAGAATGTTCGACTTCCTCGTCTTGGTCGATAGTTTCAAACCACCAAGACCTAAGGCTTTTGAGGATGTCGATCTTGTTGTATTTGCATCCTATTGTCGTCCAGGCCTTTTCATCAGGATAGAAATTTCAACTTGAACCCTGACGATGTGTTACAAGAGTGGTGTATTTCTTTGTGTTAAATGGCCATTGTTGGCTGGAGAAAAAACACTGAAGCTGAGGTTAGCTTTCAGATGCTTGACTCACATTTGGTGGCGGTGATTGGCACCCTCTTTCTTGAAGCTTCTGATTTCCAGTGATTTTGGTGTTGTTCTAGTGGGATGACGACCCTTGCTATTGTCGATATTCGCGTATCTACATTGCTTTGAATTTGCGAAGGGGCAAAGTGATAAATTCATGCCCGCCTGCCCGCCCACTAGATAGATAGATAGATAGATAGATTAGATTAGATTAGATTAGATTAGAATAGATAGATAGATAGAGAGTTAGATGGATATATAAATCCAATGAGATAAGACAAGAGACGATACTTTTTTTTTTCCCCATGGAACAAGATAAAATACTGTTCCAGAGAAACAGACAGATCTCGTCTTAGGTAACTTGAAATTGGGCACCCAAGTGCTTTCGAAGAGCATCGACGTCGGCTCGACGTCTTTGGCTTCGCCGATGTTCGGAGGAAGCAGGTGAGGTTTTTCCACCGGTTTTTGGTGGACTGGGAATGGGCTGAAAGCTATTGGGAATTCTGAGTAGTTTCTTTGGGACAAGTGAGCAGTTCATGGAAGTTTGGGGAATTTTTGGGAAAAAGAATCCAACAAACAGGTGAAAGAAAGATGCCGAATGGGAGCAAAGTGATGTTGACATGATCCTAAGGTGGACGCCTAATACTCAAAGCCACCAAGAATCAGTGGGCCATGGCCACTTGGACCTCATGTGTTTACTCCGACAAGATTCCTGATGTGGGAAGGAAGAAGCGCAAAGATAACGGCCTTGTGCCTCTGCTAAAATCACTGAATGAATCTTTCCCACATTTTCCAAAGGCCTTTCGAAACTGTTTGGCTCTAATAAAGTACCCGTGCAGTCACAACTTTAATTTCATCTGGAACGTGGCAGAGTCCAAGAAGAAGTCACCTTCCAGTGGCCCGATCCTTCTACAGCCTCCCCTTCAAGGCCCCACATGACCGTGTCCCCCAGGCCCCTTCGCTGGTTGAAGCTCTTTGCAGTTCATGCTCGGCCACTTGGCTGAAGGAATGTCTTGCAGAGATCGGAAATTGGTGTCGTGGTTGACTAGAGATGACATGGTGTAGCCTTGCCATTTCGTCCAACATGGAAATTCTCCGTTGCAACGAGATACGGAAAAAAGACCTATGGAACATGTTTTGGGTTGCGCATGTTCAGAATTTTGACCCATGATGACATGTAGCTTTGCAAACCATTTAAAGGGCACTTCAAACCCACTGGGCTCCATAGATGTCTTTTGCCCCCTGTTTTCATTTCTTCCAGCAGGACATCAGGTAGCGTTAAATCCTTGGCCTTACCCCCATGTTTTCACATTCTTTCTACAAATAAAAATGACACCCCCTCTGGTAAACAAACATAACTATGGAACATCACAATTTTTAAGTATTTTAAATGTGAAAGTCCACTATTTCTATGGCCATTTTCTATGTCGCTTTTTCTATGTTTACCAGAGGGTACCTTGAAATCCATTTGGAATCCCCGTATTTCTGTTGGACAAGTGCTGGATATCTCCGAATCTGTGCTCAGGAGGCGCCTTCGTGACATCATCAACATGCCATCCGAAGGAGTGCCAGAATGGGATGGTCCGCGTGACAAATTTTTGGCCTTTGACTCTGGGACATGGGAACATATATGATATAATATGTATAATAATATATATATATGAATATAATATATATATATACTGTATATGATATATATATATACTTCTTTGAAGTTTCCTTTGACTCCTAAGTCGTATCTGCGAACTTTGATTCAGATTTCGATGTTCTGAAGAACCTGATCTTTGCGTTCCACCAAGATCCCTTCTTGAAAGCTGACACCTTCGAGTTCCAAGATCCTGCAACTTTCGAAGTTGGACCCATCAAACCTTCTGTTCGCCACGGTACATCCTCCATCCATTTCCTCCTTCTACAAACACTGCGAATCGCGGCAAGATTGGACGTGACTATTTCCAAAGGTTCACCATTCAGATCAACGCTTCACAGATGTTGGAATTCTCACCTCAAAGCCTTCCACCCGATAGGATTCAGTTTAGCAAAGTAATCCCATCCTCGGATCGTATGAAACATCCCCTATGGTTCCCGTACTGCAAAATGGATACATTCCACCAAGACCGGTTTGGTTTCGAGGGGTATTTAATATCAGGGGAAGGGGATTAATGTGGCAAATACGATCATACAGTCAGTAGACCTACTGCTAGCATTCGAGGATGAGATTACGACCAATTTATGTTACCCTCTGGTAATTTAACATAGCTATTGAAAATGACCATCAAAATAGTGGATTTTCCCATTAAAAATGGTGATTTTCCAGTTCGCTATGTTAAATTACCAGAGGGTAATATCAGGGATGGTTTATGATTGGGTTTACCACATTGCGAATCTGCCATGTCGAAGATTGATGTTGCTAGCTCTGGGATCCATTCGAAACTGTGAACGATTCTGTTCGTGAAATCCTATGGACGGGGATGCCAAGTTGTCAGGGGCATACCCGGCCCATTTATTTCACAGACTTGGTTCAAGAGACATTTTTCTTAAGCCGGAATCGGATGGAATCGGATTTTTCTAGATGTGATATGATGTGATGATAAAAAACGGTGCTGTTTCCTGTAACTGTTTAGAAACATCCATTGAATACTTGGGGTTGAAGATGGGGCATTCCGAAACAACTTTCATGGGCTTCACCAGCGTTTTTTTTTTGTAAAATTCCCAGCCCCCCCAATATTAGGCTCCAGAAACCATGCTAAGTAGGGGATGGGACAACATATTTGGGACTATACAATGGTGAGTAATATTGGAGGGATAAACATGACGAAAATAGATGATTTTCTCAGCTATCAACCTTTATTTACGGTGGATTTTCCTATATTTTCCCATGGATTTGTCCATTGAAACCTCCATCGGTGTTACACCCCCAGTGCAGGTGCTCCAAGCAGCAACCTCTGGGGCCGCCCGGTGAATAATGGAGCATGACTGGTTCATGGCTTGATCTATGTAATTGCGGTACATTGAATATGATGTATGTTCCATAGAATATGTATATATATATATAGTATGTATATACTACTGTGATATATAACACTTAGTCACTGAGACTAAACATATACATACAAATACAAATGCATGTATAATATATCGAGTTATATATATATACATAAGATTCATGGAAAACGTATCCATTTATTCGTTTACTATTTGTTGTTCAGTTATTTTCCAACTCTATTCGGGATAATGATCCAGACTGTCATAGTTTGGGGGTTGAATTCAGCACCCTTGTTGAGATTGGCAGGACTCAGAGGGGAAGCACTCATGAAGCAAGGGGATGCTTCATGTTGAAGAAGTATTCCTATGTTTCTTGATTGCATTTTTAAAATATCTTCATTTTCAATAATGTGTTTATTGCCTAGCATGTGAAGGTACACTGTATTTTTGGTTGCTTACAGTAGATGAGATCTTATGATGCTCGGTGCATTTTCGATTATTTATTGCAATTGTGACTCGTTGTTATTAGCCCAAACATGATTCTAGATGATCGTCATGTTTCAATGGCAAAAAAAAGCAATCATTCAACAAACGCTGTACACATGTACCCTCTGGCTATTTAACATAGCTATGGAAAATGGTCCCTTTATAGCGGATTTATGATGATTTACCTATCCAAAATGGTGATTTTCCATAGCTACGTTAAATAACCAAACGGTACAATCATTCAACATACACTTTTTTTGGTGTTTCACTGAAGGTGGCAACCACTCGCGACTCCAACTTGAGGACTGGGGATCAGCCGTAGGGGATCGGCCCCAACTCATCGACTCTGCCGTAGGGGGTTGATATTCCGATTTACCCTCTGGTTATTTAACATAGCCATGGTATAGATGGCCCATTTATGGATGATTTTCCCATTAATACTTCCATTTATACGGGATTTTCCATGGCTATGTTAAATAACCAGATGGTAATCATCTTGGTTGTCAGGTTATGGATTCGCTGCATCTATAGTTTGGCCTTTTCACATTTTGTTGCTTACAAACTCAGATTCAGCCCCCCCCAAGGTGACCCCCAACAAGGCTTGGCGAATGAAAACCATCGGTTGTTGGGGAAGTCACCTTTGGGGGTTGAATCTCCATGAAGCAACTTTCATGGTCCAAAGCCTCGTTGCCAATGAAATCTGCTGGATCCAGCCACTTTAGGAGACCCTTTCCATAGACTGTATCACCTGCAGATTTTCAGCGACTTTGAAGTAGAAACCATCACAAGATTCGGGGTTCCAGTTTTATCCACACTCGGCTGTTTTCCGGAACGATATACCTCCCAGTGTGATTTTGTAAATCGTCCGGTACTGTCGATTTCCTTTTCTATGGCTTGATTTGATTTGATTTATAAAGGGGTACCTTCCATAACCCCCTGGATAACTATTACAGTGCTAAATAGAAGTTATTGGACAACTATACAGTAAACCCATGGATAACTGGATAACTATGGAAAATCAGTTAAGTTTTTGCTTCAATGGATAACTTTAGTCCCTTAAACTGATCCGTCCGAAAAAGCCGACGGACATCGTTGGGTTCTTCACCCCCGTGAGTCACACAAAAATGGCTGTGTCCAACATTTATGAAGTAAGTTGATAGGGGAAAAACATGACATCTAACCAGGTCAGATATTAAGTACACAATGATTAGATCTATCTTGAATAGTATCATTCATCTTGAACTTAAGTACCATATGACAGATCATCTTGTATTAGTATCATGGAAAATATCATACATATGTACCTAGTAATTGAGATCTATCTTGAATTAGTATCATCAATTTGGTATCATTGTAATCTCATGTTGCAAAACCTGCCTCCAGGACTCAAGGCATGCTTTGGCCTCCAGGTACAAGTCCCGATCATGCCGTTCGGATTCGGTCATGCGGTTGGTTATATATCCCATAAAAAATCGATCTATTCACGATATTATGGGATAAGATGTTATAAATTATGATTCCATATTATTATCTTTGTTGTTGTTTTTGTTATTATTATTATTATTGTTATTTTTGCAGCATCTTTCTTTTATTCGCCCAAATGCGAAGAGTCTTCAAGCAATAAGATCAGAAGCCTTGTGCAAACAGTACCATTTTGTAGCAAGGGACGGCCAAGTCTTCCCCTATTTGGATAAAAAGGGAACATCTACAGGAAGCCTCGGAACACACATTTGCGGGTATTTTTAGCCATGGTTTCCTGTAGATTTTCATTTTTCTCCATCCATTGAAGTCGAAGAAACCGGTGGTATCCGGTGGTCAGGTTGTGCATCGAGATCCTGCACGATGGAACCGGAAGTGACGGCGATGCGGGGCTTCCGCTTCTCCGCAATGCCGTGGAGTCCTTGGCCAGCGCGGGAGCGGGCCTGGTGTGCTGAGGTCAAACGCTAACCGTTTTTAGGATGAAGACTCAACAGTAATACGAAAAAAGGGTTGATTGTGAGTAGATTATCTGTAAAGATACTATCTGATAAAATTAAGTATTATTACATATGGCTTTACCGGTAATCTAACATAGCTATGAGAAAGGCACCATTTTCAATAAACCACTATAAATGGATCATTTCCCATAACTATATAGGTTAAAGTACCAGAGGTATTGGTTAGTACTGTAAGAGTAATGACAATAGTTGTTTGATGATGGTGATGATGGTGATGCTAGTGATGCTTCTTATCACTCATGAATTTGATCATGGTGACGACAGTGATGCATGAACTTTTTGTTTGATGGATGATAGACAAGATCAGACAGTACAAGACAAATTCAAAAATGAAAGAAGCAAAAGAAGACGCAGCCAATTGTCGCTGGGTCGCATCCAATGGGAATTCCAATATATACTTGTGTTTGTCTGAAACTTGGGTACCCAAAAACCGTATAGTTTAGACAACCACATTTTTTCCCACATTTTTTCCTATGTAAATATCGCATCAATATCCTACGACATAAAAAAATATGTGGAGGGCGGGCCAGACCGCAAGGCCCCGGAGCCCGGAGGTAGTATTGAATACCAGTTCGTATATTTAAATGTAGTTACCGTCTGTTTAAATGAATTGGATTCCGTAAGTTTAAATGGCTGGGCCAAGGAAAACCTTCCCGGAGGGAGTCTAAAATACCTGTTCGTATATTTAAAAATCCGTATACTTAAATGTAGTTACTGTATCATTAAAATTAAAACCACTTAGATCCATGAATTAATTCCTCCAAAATTCTTGGATCCGATTTTTTTTTTGTCCGATCCCGGGAGACAGCCTGGCTCAGCCTGGCAGGACTGACGGATGTCTTCTTGTTGATTCGACTTACAGCAGGCTGTGGAGGCCATGAATTGGAGGTACCAATCCCATATATTTTTGGCCTATTTTTCAGGCCTAAATTTCAGGGAATATCCCCAGAAAATATGGCCTGATGTGGAATATAAACGTACCTCCATTTTACCTGAAATGTCCCATTAAGTTTTAATGGGATTTTATGTGACTTCAGCAGCAAATATAGAGGTTTTATGGCGCATATGGTGAGGTGACTGACAAATGGTGATTAGTTGATGATAATGGGGGATTAGTTGATGATTATAGGGTGATTAGTTGATGATTATAGGGGATTTATACTATATAAGCAATATATTCGGAATAAGCACAATCCATGCAGGGAGACCCGTTCTCAACCGACAAGTTAATATATAGAGGGACGACAAAAAGGGTTTTGAACACTGCTCTCTTGGGGATAGACGGAACAACCAACCATGATGGGGATACAATACAATGGGATATATTAGGGTACAGCAGCCAACAATTGATAGGAATATGATGGGAATATAATGAGATAGACTGATAGACATTGATGGTGGATATGATATAATGATCACCATCAATCCCAATAGTGTCAACTTATTCATTTCAAGTGGTTACTAATGACTCATGTAGTGGCTCATCTTCACCAAATTGGGGTTTCCTAAGATAGAGGGACCCAAGGATTCTGACCCTAATTTGGGAAACATCCCAGTAGAAATGGGTTTGTGTCAAACACACATGGTGATACAATAGAGTGATGAAAAGGCAAAAGTAAGAAGAAACAAAATCAGTAGTTGATGTTAAGCATTCAATTTTCCTGGAGTTATCCTGGCGTGAAAAACTGGGGAATCAGTATGTATCCAAGGCGAAGCCGGCAGCATGTGCTCAGGATGTGTCCTTGGATGACCATCTTGTGTAGCTGATGACACTTTTTTTGATGGAAAGAAACCTTGAGATATGATACGACAGGTTGCTGGTTGCTGGAATTTGTGCGATTTAAACAACTCCAAGAACTAGAACTACAAATGTGTAACTGGGCTTAACCCCCCCACATCTACCTGAACATTTGTGTTATTGTACCATCAACTTTTGGTTGCCGCAGTCTTGAACCCCGTTGCTCGCGCAAATTATATTTTTCATCATGTATTATCATGTACTGTGCCACACACTTTGTCCGATCACCAAAAAAGACCTGAAAGGACGACTTGGCATATACTGTCCCGAAAACCATCGAGTTTCAGTCGCTGACACACTGTGGCTAGGCCCATGGTCGAATCCTAAAAGTCCCGAGGTGCAACTGATGCTGGGGATTGGTCAGAACCTGCTAGTGATTTTCCCGCATGAATGGATGAACATCCAAACATCCATAGCAACCAGCTGAATTTTCATCTTGAGACCAGGATTCCATGGGTCCCTGGCGCGCCAGCGAAGTGTTGGGGTCTTCCAAGTTGGGTTCATTAGCTTTTCATGATGCAGGTGATTTGGAAATGATTCGCCCCGCACGTCACCAGCCATTTCCGGAATGCAGGGATGGTACTTGGCTTGGCTTCAAGATCGCTTCCTCAGCAGTGTGGCTTGCAAAGACGAGGTATCTGGAAGCTGACGGGCTGATGGGGAGGCTGTTGGTCTATCCTTTTTTTTGCCCTCCGAGGCGATGTCCAGCGAAAAAGTCAACATTTTCTGTATCTTTTTGATGGGCCATGGGAAAGGGGTTGGGATCACATTTTTTTCAGACTGAACCAAAAAATGCCTGACCGAAGTTCGAAAAACCATGCTTGTACTAAGCAAACGGAATATATTGGGGTTTCCATAAATGGGGATTCCCCAAATTTGATGGTTTATAACGGAAAATCCTATTAAATTGGATGATTTAGGGGTACCCGGGGTACCCCCATTTATGGAAGCTCCCATATCAGCTCTGATGACATCATCCTGTTGAAGTCCTCACCCCACATCAGGCGCACGGTCACGGTGGTCGCCACTTCGTCTTGGTGCTACCGAGCAGCTGGCATCTACTGCCCTTTCCGTTCATTGGTGGCACCAGCGGATTGGGATGATGCAATTGGTGGACAAACATGCGTGAGTTACTAAGGGTTACTTATAATGGATTGTTTTCTGGGGATAAGGGGTGGGGCTTGCGCTTGGCTTCATCCGGGATGCCATGCCACAATCAACTTGGAGACTTCCCAATGAGTTTTAGATATGGCTGTGAGGAACGAAACAAAAAACGATGGACCTCTAAACCACTAAGCCTTTGGGGGTGTTACCATTCCATCTGGCTTATCATTATTGTCCCCATTGCGATTTTAAATTTGAGGAGTATACCGGTCTACCACATTATCACACAAAACCACATATTACATCACATCAATATCCCAGGCATATTCCATGAATATCCCATGATATACCCATTAATATTCAACGAATATCCCATAGTCCCATTGATATAAAAAACGGATATCCCATTCATATTCCGAATTGCAAAACCACATATTTTTTCCACAGATCTCAAAAGAGATCCCAAAGGCCAAGAACTGTGTCCGGAGACCCAGGACCAACTGAATCGGGAAAGATGGGTATGTGTTTTTTTTGAGGAACAATATATCATTATACATGTGTATGTATATATATATAATACTCAAGCCAGGCAAAATGCTTTTAACCAACTAAAGCTGGGTGTTCATGAATTGGATTTTTTTTAACCAACTGAAAGCCACAGCATTCTGCATATTCAATCATACTCATACTTATTCTGACCAACAAGCATGCAGGCTAAGCCAACAAGAACGGCTCAAAGCCTGGATACCTTGGAACCATGAACAAGGAGATCGCTGACAAGTGGGGGTAACACCAACAAAAAAGGTAGGACATACCCTCTGGTAATTTAACGTAGCTATTGAAAATGACCATTTATAGTGGATTTTCCCATTAAAAATGGTGATTTTCCATAGCTATGTTAAATTACCAGAGGGTAGCTGATACATACTGACTACGGAGACATACCAAGCTGGCCACAGCTGGTGCTGATCCGCCAGTGACACCAGCACAGGTGGAGCCGCATAAATGAAGCCGCAGAGCTTCTGGAAGGCCGACCCTTTTTCAATTGGGGTGTTATAAAACCAATCATTAAACATGGAGATTAAATGGCTATATTAAACATGGGGATATTTCACCAACTTGATACGGGAAATAATTTTTTGACATATTTTTGATGTTTTTGTGGTCTGAACACGGGAACACCCATATAGCATGGAACTTTTTACTGGACAACGGATGATAAACCATTGGAAAATAGGACCTATTTTCGCACAAATCTACTGTAATAAATTTGACAATGTTATAAGCATCGATATCTAAAATCAAGAGTTGTATTTACTGTTGGAAACCCAGTACTACACCTACCATCCGCGATTTATAACGCCCATTCATGGTGATTTTGGGGCTTGTTTACTATTGGGTTTACTACATTGTAAGTAATTACAGTATCCAGTACTATACAATCTAAATACAGTATCCGGTACTATACAATCTAGCGGCTAATCTACCAGATATAAGTGGGGTAAAGAAACCAGATACCAAGTGGGATGTCCATCCAAGTGTTCGTGGGTAATCCACTGGTTAGAAGGTGGACCCAACCACACCAAAAAAGCCAGTGGAACATTGGTGGGAATCGCCACGAATTGAAATTCATTGCACTGGTGAAGTCGTATCTATTGGAATTCTGGAATTCTGGAAGCGGTGTGGGATTTCCAAGTACTGTATCATCAAGTATCCATGTACACAACAAGCAGTCTCTGAGCAGGTGCTGGTCTTGTTGTCGGTTTTTGTTGTCGGTTTTTGTTCGACCTCAAAAAACGCGACAAAAAGGACCTCAAGACTCGGGGTAGGGTTGCCGAGCCTGTGGGGGTTACTCTATGCTTACTACCCTATATATATAAATGTAATTATATATATATATGTATAGAATTATATATATATATGTATATGTATATATTTATGTGCATATATATATATGTATAGAATTATATATATATGTATATATATATGTATGTATATATATATATGTATGTATATATATGTATATATGTATATAATGTATAAACATATGCAGCTACAGAATATACCTATTGGGAGTGAACTATCACAATGCGATTGATTTTAAAGGCTTCACGGGCAGGAAGTCCAAACGTGGTGGCTGTGTCGATGCGAGAGAAGTTTAAGCCGCTTCGCTTTCGAATGGGGGGGTCTTAATGGGATCCAATGGGATTTAATGGGACTTACAAGAATTGGTTAAATCATCATTGTCTAAGTTTATTGGGATTCAATGGGATCTATGAATTATTAACCATCCACCTAATATTCAACATCTCTCTTTGGTTTCGAATCAGAAAGAAAAATTACTGGAACAAGGATGAACAAGGCCACCAAAATAGTTGGAGTATCGCTCCTTGAGATGGTGATCCAAAATGACTATTCTCCGTAGCCACTTTGGTTCGTATACGTAGTATATTATATATATATACATTATGTAGGTAGAATAGAATGGTCAGAACAGAATAGAAATAGAAAGAGGATAGTAATAGAGCAGACAGACAGAGAGGTGCTTTGAGGTGGACCAGTCATCTCCTGTCCAAAACCAGCCCAGGCAAGGTTTCTTTGGACAAGGACGCCCCCGATTTCAACGGATGGCCCCACTGGGGATATAATGAAGGGATCACGGGGAATGATGGGCTATAGTGGAACGTGTAACCAACATTCTTACAGTATATTTAGATATATCTGAAAATCGAATAAGTCCCCCAAAAAAGCAAAACACTAGGAATACTGAATGATCAAGATAATTAAATGCCAAACCAGCCCTAAATGTTTTTCCCAGTATATCATTGGTCGCCCAAGTCGCCGGATCATTGGTTGATCATATCTCTATCATTCGCGACTAAATCCAGTGCTGGTGACACCACCAAGCGAACATGGCAACATGGCCTCAAATCAACCCGACCTACCATGTTTTCAGATTTTGAAAGAAATCCTGGAATCTAGTTGTATCATTTCCGTGAGCTGCTGGACATGGTGGTTTCAGGCTGGTTGCATCCACGTGGAAATCAGTCGGCCAAATATTTGGTTCCAGGTCTTGACCAATCGTCCTGGGCCCCTACCTGGAACTCAGGTTGACTTCCATAATTAGCTGAAGGCAGCATTTGCAGGACCCCCCCTATGTCATTATGTTTCAGAGTAAAACTATGTAAAACTCATGGTTTTTCCCGTCATTTTGCCACTTGAAGCACTCCATTGCCTGGATTTCACGGCTGTAGGAGCTCCCTTGCGGCGCAGAACGGATGTCAGGTCTTTAAAGAGTTTCCTGCCGGGGGTCCCATGAGTTGCTGATGAGGCCCCACACCAAACCACACCCTGGGGCGCTCCGCGAGGTTGCTAGCGCCTGCGTTGTCTCCAGATTGGAATCTGACAGAAGCAGAACGTTGGCGTCTCGGAGTTCGGGACCAGGGTCATATGTTTTTGCTGCAGGGTGGAACGTCATTTATTTTTGCCTGTCATCTAATCAGAGAGATCATGCGGATCCACTGTTGACTGTTGACCCCAGGCTGGCTTGGCTATGGCATTCGCGTAGATAATGGTTGGCTGACTGGGATCTGAACGATCCAAAAGGATACTCTGGGATACTCGGTGGAGGGTTGTCCACAGCTCACCGCAGGTCTTCACTTGGCAACTCCGGTGGCTGAACTCTCCCAACTCTCCCAACGAGGGAAAAGACCATGCATATTGTGAGGTGAAGTATGTTTGGCCAATGGACAACCTTAGATCTGCAGACTATCCATCTATCCATCTATCTCATCCCAGACTATGTACCTATGGAGACCCTGCTCAGCTTTGTCCCAGGTCTGCTCACTGACATCTACCACATGTTTGCTGCGAGGGCGGAGCCCGCCCGGTGCGGAGCGCCCGGAAACCGTGGGGGATTCATATCTAAGGTTGATTTGATATGGAAGTTCAACAATCGAGTCTTGCTAGAGAAAATTGACCTATCAATGGTGGATTCTCCGTAAGGTGTTAATTCACGCCTTAGGCGAAGTCTGAAAGTTCCAGGGAGATTGAACGTGGACCGACCCAGACCCATGGACCCCAAGACTCCAAGAACGAAGCGCTGTTGTAAAATTTGCATGACTTTAGGTCAGAGTCGTACTCAATGGTCATAGCTTGTCTCAATGTGGGATTACTTTAAATAGGTCATAGGTATGGTCATAGGTTGTCTCAATGGATAAGTTGATGGACAGCAAAGAAAGAGAATAGACAGAATAGACAGAATAGACTATCATCGGTAGAACATGTTTTGGGGCTCCACTTGCTCCACCGGCGAATGATGATCCCAGTCGTCGTCGAGGCTCCTAGAGCCGCTGTTGCAGGCCGGTTCAAACTGATGTTTGACGGGATAAGAAGCACTGAAGTTTTGCGAAAAAAATGGCCATCTCGAAACCATCCAATATCCAGTGATATCCAATCTGTGTCTTTTTTTTTGGGTAAGCAATTTTTGACCCCCAAAGTTGGTCAATTTGAGTCCTTCGAGGATATCACCTACTGGGACCAGGATCTGCTGTGGGCATTTCTGAATGCACATGTTCGCACGGATGGAATCAGATCCAGACACAGTCCATATGGCTATATAACTGTGTATATATATAATTATATATATATATATGTATGCACACATGCATATAGATGTATAGAACTATAACTACATGGAGCTACATATACACATGCGTAAACATATATATATATATGATTATATATAATTATATATATGATTATATATATAATATGTATACAAATGCATATCTACGCAAGCTGTTGTATTTCTGGCACAGGATGTGCATCCCTGCGGCAGTGCGATGCTGTGTGCGTGGGCCCCAGGGGGATCCCCCGATCGCATGGGAAGCATCGCTGCCCGATAGGTCACCGGGCTGGACGAACTTGGCCCAACTTGGTTTCGATGGGGTAAATCTGTGGTAGGAATTGGAAAAGCATGTTTTTCTAAGACATTAATCTGTCTAGCTACATTGCATTCATACTACTAACCATCATAGGTACCCTTATGAAGGCTACTACCTAGCCTAGCCCAGCCTGGGAGACCATCGGCACCAGGGGTTGACTCACAACGACCCAGGTGAACCCAACATATGGAAAAGAGCAGCATGGGGGTATGATTATGATCATGACAGATGTATGAGATATGTACAACGAATAAGAACCCAACACTTTTTTGCATTCAACAAGAACGAGGACAGAACAAGGACGCCATCATGGCACCGGCCTCTGGACCAGGCCCCAAGCGCCTGGTGGAAAGAGGAGCTGGGAGTTGTTTTTTTTGCATCCGTGGGGATCTTGGTATTTTGCAGATTTCCACGTGCGATCTGTTGTTAAGCCGTTCTTAGATGTTTTTTCCGGCTTTCCGGAAGGTTTTTGGGGAAAATCTCCACCTACTGAAACCCTGGTTGAAACCGCCATGGCTACAGGACTTGGAGTCGGAGAGCGGGGATGTGTGGCTCTTGAGATCGGGTGAAAGCAGTGAAAGCCGAGGCGGGCGACTGAGAATCCGAGCGAGAATCCGTTGGTTGCAGGTGAGTGAACCCTTTGGTAATCCCCCATTTGTAGATGGTAATCCCCCATTTATGGATGATTTTCCCATGAAAGCCTTCATTTTGATTGGAGATTTTCCATTGCGACGTTCGATTACCAGAGGGTACTATGGTTCAGCCATACATCAGAAGCATATTGTCAAACCAGTCTTAGAAGGATTTCATCAAGCTTTTCCCCACCCAGTGACAGTCTACTCGATGCCTGGGAAATCGTTCCACTTTTTGGGATTCAACATCCTTTTTTGCGGTTGGCTTCCCAATGTTTCTTCTTGCTACTTGCTTTGCTGGGCTCAAACTCCTCCCTTTGGTGTTTGGATTGTGGTTATCGCAGGTTGGGTGGTGTATGAAGAAGGTTTTCCCTCGAAACTCCAGTGTTCAGGTTCATCTAAAAAAAAATCCATACATTGAATCCAAAGGATTTTATACATTTGAGCACCATCAAAATCATCTTTTTTTTTAAAAAAGAAAACACATTTGCAGGAAAATTTGGTTAATAATCCATGGTAATTTAACTTAACCTATATCACCATTTTCATCGGTAAAAACCATAGATTAAACCATCTCCACATGTCGATTTTCTGCACGCACCGCCGAGAAAGGTGGTGCGACCTCCGTCGCCCTTTCCAGCGGTTTGTTTCAGCGGAGCCAGGGAACCCGTCGGGCACCTCAGCCGTGGGATGATCAGATTGCGAAAAACATCTCCAGGTTTCTTACTTTCTATATTGGTGTTGCTATATACATATTATATATATATCTGTATATTATATATCATTATAGTTGCTAGTATATATATATGTACATATATATGTATACATATAAGTATAGTTGCTAGTATATGTATATATGTATATATAATTATATATATATAGAGAGTTTCGCATTATACGTAGGATATACACTTGTACACATAGACATGTTCTCTCACCAACTGGCCTGGAAGCGGACAAACCCAGCTATTTCTGAACCATTTCTGTATAGTTTTCCGACAGACCTACCCATTTACATCTGGATCAACCATGCGTGATAAGCTCGCTGAAGGGTCGCGAAGCAATTGGATACGCATGGAAATTGGCATATTTGTGCCAGCTACGTGGCCATAAGGGGCAGAGCCAAGTGGTGTACCAAAAGTATTTCTGTTCCTTTCTGTTCCTTGTTGATAGTCTTACCTTCTCAATCCTTTTCAAATCAACATTGGTGTAGCCGAAGCTTTTGATATCTGATGAACATGCTCTTTGTGAACTGGTGACCTCATGGCAGAAGCCATGCGAACGAACCTGTGGGTTTTTCTTCTCGGCCTGAAATTCCTTCCCGCTGCTTACCGCTTACCTGATAGATTTGGGGGGAATATTTCCATCTTGAGGAATTCATGAGCTTTACCCTCTGGTAAACTAACATAGCTATTGAAAATGGCCCATAGAAATAGTTGATTTTCCTATTAAAAATGGGGATTTTCCATTGCAAACTGTTAGTTTACCAGAGGGTAAACCGTTGAAACCTCCATAATCACCATAAACTCATCAGAACTGGCGCCACGTCACGACGTTTTTCTCGACACGAGAGCGAGGCTACGAGTACTTTGCATCGGCACGGAATGTCTGGGATGCTGAGGGATGCACCAAGGGGTGATTTATGGTGACTTTTCATAGCATCTAATGGGGGTTTATATCTGGGATATACCTTCTGGTAATTTTTTCAATCACCATCTAAAAAAGTTCGGTAAATCAACTATTTCGCCATGGCTTCAATAGCTTTGTAACAAATTACCAGAGGGGATCCAATTTTCACGAAAAGATATGGACAACGACTATGGTTTCCGGACAATGATCGACCATTTCACTTCAATGACGATGTATGTTTCCATCTATTTGGAGATCACTACATGAACAGAATTCCAACAGAATTCCAATTCAAACAGTGCAAATTTCTTGCAGTTACTGCCCTCGGATCTTTCCCGGGTAAGAATCCGAAAAAAAAACACAATTCTTTGTGTGTTCAAAGCGTTTTTCAAACCCCGGTTTTTCTGACACATTTTCGCGTTGTTTTCAACGCTCCAGACATCTTTTTTGGACATCCAATTTTGGTGGCTTAAATCTCCTATGAAATCCCTATTAAATCCAATTTTGGTGGCTTAAATCCCCTATGAAATCCCTATTAAATCCAATTTTGGTGGGTTAAATCCCCTATTAAATCCCTATTAAATCCAATTTTGGTGGGTTAAATCCCTTATGAAATCCCTATTAAATCCAATTTTGGTGGGTTAAATCCCCTATAAATCGCCTATGAAATCCCCATGAAATCCCTATTTAACCCCGATGAACCATCCAATTTTGGTGGCATCGTTCCGCTGAGGTCTTGGGGATTCCCCCCTGCGTGGCCTGTCACCTGCAGGACCTGAGACCTCTGGTGTCGATGGCCGGATGGTGATGGAATTTTTCATGCTTAATAAGGGTTAATATAAAGGAATATGGAATATTATTGAATGGGATATTATTAGATATTTTTCATGGGATATCTGGGATATCTAATAGAATAGCCTCTGGTGTCCTCAAACATGGCAGGGAAATCCCTTTTGACAAAGAGGGCCTTTTTTATTTGGGAAAATCATCTCAACATGGGATTTTCCATTGCCACGGAGCTGATGACCAGAGGGTTACATCAATCATATACTGCCAAGCAAGGAAAAATGGCCTTACCTTTGCTCGCAGATGAAGAAAAACTCAGAGAGCTTGATGAAAAAGTACTTGACCCTGACTCACCCTCCCCGTGCAGGAACCAGCTGCGAAGCAGAAGTTCACCTTGTATTTCACCGTGGTGGATGTGATAGGTGAGGCATCCCCACTTCCGGCGATTCTGAGCTGAGGGTTGACATCGGTGAATCAGGGTTATAGTAACACATGATATCCATTACGAGGTTCCTTTTAAGGGGCACTGTGTCCAAAATACAAATATTATACGATAGTCTCAGTGACTAACATACACAGGGTTGCCAAGATATATCCTGTATGACCATTTGCTGAAATTCACTTCTGTTTTTTTTGTATAAATAGCCATCATATGAAACAGCTGCGGTGGTGGTTTCACAACCACCACCCCAAGATCTTGATCCGTCGCTCATCAGGCGTCTGCCGCGAACAATTTGGCAATCTTTTTTGCGATGCCCTGGAGGTGGGGAAAAATCCACCGAAACCGCCACAGAACTTGGGCGTTTTTTGCCGGAAAAAACGGGTGTTTTGAACAACGGCGCCCTTTTCATGGGGATGGAATGAACCAAAATGACGAATATTCATGGGATTTGAAACCATAATGGAATACGATGGATATACAACCAGGACAATTTGGACTTTCTAAATGAATTAAACTGCTAACCAGCCCTGAAAGATGGATGTTTTCTGGAATTGCAAAGAAAATGCGGGGTTTTATTCAGCCAACCACAAAAAGGGACAGGAACACATTAATCGGACGGCGACTCTACGTGGTGGCGTCCATCCCGCGTCCATCCCGCCTTACGGCTGGCAATATCGTTGACACCGCTAGCGGCTAAAGACAATGTTGATTCTGCTGTCAGAATCAGCAACGGTATAGAAAAAGGATGCTGTACGTACACGGATCGTTCCTAGACTGGGCAAATCATTTACTTCTGTGCAACCCAGACCTTGAAACCACAAGCGCGGGTGTATCAAGGTAGGGCCACGAGGTGTGAGCCACCAAGCCTCGCTGTTCGCCCTGCAGGTCACCAAACTCTATGCTGCACTCAACTGAGACACTGCCAGCTTACAGACATGAAATGGCCACGCGTTTATTGATGCAGTAGTGAGCCAAGGCACTACCAACAAATGTAAGCATTTGATGCGCCATCAGTAAGCTGATAGGACGGAGTCCACTCAGGCAACTGGCTGTTAAAACTAGGCAAGGCAGATGCCCAGCGTAACCAAACTCCGTGGGCCGTGGGGAAACGAAGCGGATGAAACTACTCCCAGGGATCAGCTGACTCGGCCACACTAACTGGAAAGTCCTGGGCCCGTGGCTATACAGGAACATATAACATCATATAACCAAGAGATTTCCCATGATTATCATATTACCTTCTGGTAAACTAACATAGCTATGGAAAATCACCACAATAAAAATAGGTAAATCAATTTTCCATCAACTATCACTGGGCCATTTTCCTCCATTTTCCATAGCTACGTAACAAATTACCAGAGGACCATCCTGCACTGTTTCCTTCCCAGACTCCCGAGACTTGACCGGAACAGTTCGGGGCGATTTTTGGGAATCGTTGTGGCGTGGCTTCGCAAAAGACACATCCAAAATGAGGAAAATACATGGAAACAGCCATGAAATACAACTTTTCGGATCGCGGATTTCTGTGTTTTTTGTTGCGCCCGGATGATGCTTTTACCAGATTTTACCAGGCCTTGCAGATAGCATCCTTTCAGGGTCCTGATGCCCTGAACCTCAGTGGATGCGGATTGCCAGGTCGGAGGATACCATAGGACCATAGATTGTTGACCTGTCCATTGAGGAAGTACCCTCTGGTAAACTAACATAGGAACCATGGAACCATGGCTATAACCATAGGAAAACCATAGGACAATGGTAGTTTAATGGAATTTAATGGGATTTAATAGGATATACCCTCTGGTAAACTGACATAACTATGGAAAATCACTATTTTTAATGGGTAAATCCACTATAAATGGCCATTTCCAATAGCTTTTTGCTAGTTTAACATGCGGGGTATTTTCGGGGTGAAACTCAAAAACTCCTTCGGTTCTTACTAAGCCAGGCAAGCAACAAGTGTGGCATGGGGACTCGTAAACACAATTTAATACCAGAGTCTCTGCGCATGTCTAGTGATGGGGCTACCGGGATTTTTACATCAAATCATGCCTGTATCTGTTGCATTCTTTGAAACTACAGTGCTTGCAATTTGCACTGGAACTCCCAGTTACTTCTGGATGTCTCTGCACTGCAACACGACCTCCAGCCGCAATTTTAGCTTGAAGAACATTATGCCGAGGTTTTAGCGCGTCGGGATATTTTTGTTTTTCTGGACATTGGCTCTACCTAAAATCGGCAAAATCGAACAGTTGATCAGTATGTTCCAACATGTGCAATGGCTGTGTTATGCTATTTTTGGGGCAGCCCTTTGGGGTAGCCCCGAATTTAGGCCAAGCCCACAAGTGTAACATATCCTATGTCCTAGTGTTTTTCTATCACCACTAAAGAATGGTTGGTTTTATACCCGCATTTTGGGCTGCAGACAGATGAATCTACCATTGATGTTAACCCCGGATTAATAAACCCTGGTTGATGGGTTATGGAGTACTGTAGCCTCCCAAGTAGTGACAACCTGGTACCTTGTACGGCAAGTCCCCAAAATAACACAGCTTAGGGATTCAAAAAATGTGGAGTTGACACTATTGATGGTTATGTCCTGCATAAAATATCCCTATGATTCTCTACCAAAGAACCTTAGGGACTGCCTTAGGTGGTTCTTGTGGAGCCGTTGATTTCCAATGGCGTGAGGTGACGTGCTCCACAAGTTGTGGACCGGTTGTGTCCGTCCGTTTTAACGGGGGATTTGCCGAACCGATCTGCTGTTCTTGTGCCTATGGGGACCTGTTGGGGACCTGTATTTAGGTGTATGGGTGTCTTTGTATAGTACACCTTCCTATTTTGACCATGCCCATTTGTACACGTTCCTCTCTTTTATTGTACTCTTCCTCACAGAGAGAGAGAGAGAGAGAGTTTCGTTACAATTGCGACAGGCGTGTCCTCACGGAGAAGGAAGCTGCAGAGTATCGCAAGGTTGGGCAATGATGTCCGTCTGGGAGAAGCATTTTGGGGTCGGTAACCGGTACCTTTTTTGGGTATTTAGCGACCACAAACTTTGGGGATTTCAGCCACAACGCATGCATGGGGAAGCGATCCACGGGAAAATTCAATACCTCAAGCAACGCTAACATTTCAAAAGCAATTCATCAACTCGGATGGTGTGTATAAAGGCGTCTGTGTATGTAAAGGCGTCTGTGTGTAAAAACGTTTCTGCGTAAGAGCGTCTGTGTGTAAAAGTGCCTGTGTTACATCTTCACATTTTATATCTTCTCCATCTTTGGGGATATTGTAACTGATAATAAATTGGTATATCTGTATATCTCATGACTCACCAACTGACCAGTAATGGTAAACAGGGGCATCTCAGTCCGGTATCCCACATGACTTAAAATCCAGAAGTTTGTAGGATGCGAAAATGGCTGGGCAACTTGTGTCACATGGTCACAGCACCACCCAAGTTGGATCCGTTTGCAGTAAACACAAGGACAAGGAGCTTTATGGGTCCATGGGTGCCTCATTTTAATCCAGATGTTTTCTGGATTTTTCTTATGCTTGGCCCAAGGGCTTGACTCTTTTTGGAAATCCGCGCCACCGAAAGCCACCGAAAGCCACCGGAGAATGGTTGTAGATGACAAATGGTCCATGAATTTCAGGGAGTGGAGCCTCCCGCCCCCAGGACAACAAGAATCCAGGCGTCTTTTCTTTGTTCCGGGAGGCCGGGTGGTTCCGCAGCGCAAAAAAAGGGGTTCGAACCCAAGGCGAACACCATGTGGTTACCCCAAAATGGTTGGTACTGTAGAGAAATGGTTGGCAGCTGGTTGGTAGAACCCCTTGAGTCCCTTGCAGAAAACCCATAGACTCTTGTTGACTACCTCTACCTGGGTATGGGACAAGGGCACCGGTCCTGGCAGCCACTTGGTTCGCAACAGATCAATGAAACTGCAACTCCCCCACCTTGGTCGTGATAAGTCATCATCATCTCACCCAGAATAAACGCACATATACATATACATAGACATAGACAGATACATATACATATACACATACATATACATAGACAGATACATATACATATACATAGACAGATACATATATATATATATATACATATACATATACACATACATATACATAGACAGATACATATACACATACACATACATGTACACATACACATACATATACATATACAAAGACAGATACATATACATATACACATACATATACATAGACAGATACATAGACAGATACATATACATATACATATACACATACATATACATAGACAGATACATATACATATACATAGACAGATACATATACACATACATGTACACATACACATACATATACATATACAAAGACAGATACATATACATATACACATACATATACATAGACAGATACATATACATATACATAGACAGATACATATACATATACATATACACATACATATACATAGACAGATACATATACATATACATAGACAGATACATATACACATACACATACATATACATAGACATATACACATACATATACACATACATATACATAGACACATACATATACATACACATACATATTTACATTTACATATGTGTATATATATATATATACACATAGACAGAAAATATCACAAGAGTATGATAGTTATAATTAGTTTAGCAGGTCGGAGCAGTTTCCACTGCCAACCACGCCGAATTGGCCGAAGGCGGGCATGTGCACCCCGCAATACGAGGGCACCACGTCCTTTGGCGACGTCTTTGACTGGCCTCAGCTGGTTCAGTGGCTGCGGCAGGCCCATCAAACATGCCACAGACATTTCCTGTAAATGGAGGCAAATCATGGGAAAATCATGGAACATCATGCAAAATCATGGACAAAATATAGGACAATCCACCATAAATGGAGCTTTAAAGCTGGGAAAACAAAGTATAAATGGGCGATTTTACATTGCCATGTTTAATTGCCAAAGGGATAGAACTAACATGAACTAACAACCTGCGGGATAGAACCATTTCTTCTCCAACAATTGGGCTAAAGGATATTCAGAATTAGATTAAAGGATATGAAGGATTGTTGACTGATATCAAATGGATCTCCTTCCGCTCAAGTCAATTGACTTCTGGGACCCTTTAGACTGTTGCCTGACCGACCTACCATCAGCTGAGCCAGTGTCCCACTTGGCCTCCTTGATAGGTATGCGATAGGCCTATGAAACATTTTAAAACGCTCATATACATATATACATATATACATATATACATATATACATGTGTACATATATACATATATACATATATACATATATACATATATACATATATACATATATACATATATATATATAAATACATATATATATATATACATATATGTATATGTTTGTATGTGTATATGGTCTCATTATCCTGGAATTGGCCAAAGCAAAAAGTCCAGGAAACCCCACAACATGGGTTTATCAAAACGTGGGTATACCGGCCAAGTTTTGGCAATTTTAATAGGACCATGATTTTTGAGACCTGTTGGATTTTGGGGTAACCTTATTTCAGTAAGTAGGGTTAGTCCAGTGATAGTTGGGCTTCTAGCCCACTTAGTAAATGGAGTCAAGCACCAAGGGGGGAAAGAAGCCATGGGTGACTGTCAGGCTCGGGGCATTCGAGGGCAGATCTCTTGGAAGGATTGGAAGGAAACCACAGGTGGGGAAGCTCATGATCCTACCTGGTCTACCCGTCTACCCGCCCGTGCATCTGGGGTGGCGATGGGCAAAAACTGGTTGTTTTAATTGCAACAAGGAGGGTTTAAGCAACAAAAATAGGGTTTACTAACTAGAAATGTTGATGATGATCTGGTGATAAATTGCTCTTAACAGGCGTCCAGAGCATGTTCTAACCACTTCAACTTAACAAGGGTCTTGATCATCAAACAGTGGACCTGCGCTGCTGAACGTGATCCGAGCCGAGTTGTTGGAGCCCAGGTACTGATGTCATTCTGTGTTTTTTTGTTGAACCCCACTTAGTAGCTGCTGAGTTATGGCATAGTCATAGTTATAGTCAGAAAACTCTCTGGTGATTTGTTCCATAGCTATGGAATACATTCAATTTTTGGTCGGTAAATCATCGAACAAAAAAAGGACCATCTTCCAGCTGGCCACCATGGTTTTTGGTTTTGGGCATTTCCCAGCTGGCCATGGTTGATTGCCAGTCTGGGTTTATCCAATATTCCAATCATATCCCATGAGTAATATCCAATTGTGAAATTGAAGTTAATTCCCATAAAATCCATATGTGATTCCCATATTAGAAAAATCCATATGTGTTTAAAATTCCCATATGATTTCTATCCAATTCCACATATTTTTTTCCATCTTTTTTCGCAACAGAGTAAGATGCCGAGTTGAAGTTGGTGACACCAGGACTAATCATGGAGGACATGGGAACAGAGTTCGCTTTTTTTCTGGGTTGTAGTTACAAAATATATTTTTGATTATCATACCACTAATATACCATTACTATCCCGTTTGATTATATATATATACATATAGTGATTATATGTATATATATAATTATATATATATACGTATATATATATATACACTTATTGGTTATGTGTATATATATAATATTTCACTATATTCCATCTAATTATATCCCATCAATATCGGATGTTTCGTGTCCTGCAGGTGGCACTATCGACATGCTCGCCATGCAAGCTGAACATTGGGATGGCAACGAGCGGCTGCCCGGAACGCCCAGAAGAGTCCATCTATTTACCCTCTGGTAAACTAACATAGCTATTGAAAATGGCCATTTATAGTGGATTTTCCCATTAAAAATAGTGATTTTCCATAGTTATGTTAGTTTACCAGAGGGTAATTCCTTATATCTTTGCTTAAATATTTGGTTACTTGTTTGATCTTGTTTGTTTATTTCTTTAATCCTATCAAATCTGATCAAATCTTGTTACATATATAATCTTATCTAATACTACGGCAAGACCCTATGGTTTGCCCGCAAGGTTAGAATGGAGTTCAAATATTATTCTTCGACATGCTCAAACACCTGCGCAGGGCCAGTGTTTTGGTATTTACCAGACGACGAACCCTAAACCCTAAAACCCTGAAACCCTAAACCCTAAAACCCTGAAAAGTCTGAATCCGAAAGCAGAAAACACTGCGTATACGCAGTATTTTCTGCAATTTCTCTTCTCATGTTCGACGACAGGGAATCCTCAATGTTGCAGTCTGGGCAAACCACGGGGTTTGTGCGTAATCTGATGTAATCTTACCTAATCTTATGAAATCTAATCTAATCCTATCTTGTCTGTTTGTCTGTCTATCGTTCTATCAATCTATCTATTTATCTAATTAATCTATCAATCTATCTATAGATGTATATAAACGAAGTATTGATGAAGCCATCAATGGAAAGGCTTACGTCGCGAAATCACTGCAATGATGGGAATTGGACTGGATAACTCTCCAAAAACCGCCGTAATAATTCAGGCCAGTCTAGTGTATGATCACAGTTTATTCAAATAAATGAACATGACAAAACATGGGATTTTGGGGGTACCCTATTTTTGGGCAAAACCATATGGGGTAAGCCATCAATTGCATTCATCATCCGGTTGCTCAGGCCATGTGCCGATTCGGAGGAGGAGATGATGCTTCGTATCTTGGTGAAAGCTTGGTTGTTTTGCACCACAATGCGGATGAGTCAAAACCATTTTGATATTTTCAATGAAATTCAGCGGATGAACATCAAGACGACTATTTTGATTTATTTTGATGTGAAGAGAAGGGCACATACATTAAAATGTTCACCAAGTGATAATGGTAGCAGGCAATCCAGCAAAATGTCGACATTGAGCGTATAAAATTGTTATGCATACTGGTAAAGTCGCGAGATCAGCATACGACAGTCATTGTGGTTTCAGATCCTTCGAACAATTCTTCCCCAAGCCCGCCCCTTCCAAGCCCATTCAACAGAGGTTTTTACCTGGATCATTTGCACGTGCGGAAAAGGGCATGGAGTCTCAGATTTGACCTGGGATATTTCTGTGTTTAACTCTGCCAGAAAGCTCCAAAAGTTGGGGATGGTGGACATTTCTGGTGTTAGAAAAGGTATGGGCCATTGGGCTGACGGAGAACCCCCCAACAACCGTGGATGAGAGGATCAAGAAACACGTCTGGTGAACTGAAATCTTCGTTTGTAATCCATCCAGAGCAACTACATTCGTACCCCATGGGATTGTCAAACATTGCATGGAAGATTCCCCCAATTCTAGAAAGGAGCTGTGGCTTCACCAAATTCCCTAATGGGGAGCCAGTTGGAGCGACAATCACAGTTTTCCAACCACCTGATGGTATTTGGGCTTTGCTATAGTTGCAAATGAATGTAAATCGGATCATGTGGAACAACCTATTTTCAGGGGGACTTACTGTACACAGTAACAATTCTACTGCACAACCCAATATCACTACAGTATTTGATTCTATTTGCAGCTTGTTGCGTTGGATTCGCAATTCTGGTGCCTCCAATTTGGTCAGGTTTGCGTCCAGAGCAGGAAGCACGGTGGAGGTCGGGGGTGCTGGTTGTGTGGGAAATGCTCAAAACCGATGTTGGTCGATGATTACCCTCTGGTAAACTGACATAGCTATTGAAAATTGCCATTTATAGTGGATTTACCCATTAAAAATGGTGATTTTCCAGTTCGCTATGTGAAATTACCAGAGGGTATAGACGCTTATACTACCTGATATCCCATTGTCATAAGCCATCATGGAAATCTCCACCAGTATAGTGACATGGCAGACTGTTTTGAACACTGCTCAACTGGGAGCTTCTCAAAAGGGGGGACACCGGAATCATGCAAGTTACTGGTCATTTTTGATGGAGAAACGAAAGGTTTCGGGGTACCTCAATTTCAAGAAACATCCCGTTTTGGTACCGACTTGGGATTGAATTCTATTTTAAGGCAAGTTTTTCATGGGGATATTTCCCTGATAAATGATAGCAGGTTTTTTTTCCAAGGCAACAGGCGGTTATACTGCCCAATATTCGCCAGTATTCCCCAAGATTTTTCCAGACACGGCTGACCAGACTCTTTCATCATCCCCAAAATACTGGCGAAGAGAAATCTTGGGCCAGTATCAAGCTGCATGTGTCACTGTTAATCACTGTTATACCATTCCGGGCCCAACTTTGGGCCTAGGTTTTGAGCTCCGTTTCTTGGATGGGGAACGCCTAGAAGAAGTGGTCGACCTGGCTTTCTTGGTCGAAGTTTCGACACCCACCTGACACGGAAACAGAATGGCTTCGTCCATGGGAGCAATTTATGGCCATTTCAAGCGGGAAAACAATGATGGACCGCAGGATTTTGCCTTAGACTTGAAGGGAAAATGAAGAGGAACCCTGTATATTTCATGGCAAAATCTGTGGCTGCAATTTTCCTTTCAACCAATCCCGCTTACAGCCAGTACATGGAACCATAGGCTTACAGCTGAGTAGGAGATATTTGGCGATTGTTTCTGAAATTAGCGCGGCCATTTTTTTGTGGATCTACTTGAAGCTGGAGTTGAGAGCCTCAATTGGGACTTAGGAATTGATTTGATTTCAGGGTATGATTACTAGCTCTGTACCTTAAGATTCATCGCCTATTCCAATCATAGATGTCCTATTCCAATTGTTTCCTCGTTATATACATATATATATATACATATGTATATATATATAATATAATGTTATATATATATATATCTACATGATATGTAATATAATACAATAACATACAATACAATACAACATGATCTAATCTAATATCCTATAATATAATCTAGTATAGTATAATTTAATATAGATATATAATATAATACAATATGATACAATATAATACAATATAATATAATATAATACAATATAATATAATATGATATAATATAATATAATATAATACAATATAATATAACATAATATAATACAATATAATATAATATAATACAATACAATATTATACAATATAATACAATATTGTACAATATAATACAATATTGTACAATATAATACAATATAATACAATATAATACAATACAATATAATATAATATAATATATATAATATAATATAGTAAAATATAGTATAATATAATATAACATAATATAATATAGTATAATAGAATATATAATATAATATAATAATACAATATAATATAATATAATATAATAATATAATATAATATAATATAATATAATAAACATAATATAATATAATATAATATAATAATATATATATATATACATATTATCATTATTATTATTATTAATTATTATCATTATATATATATAGGGGTAAAAAAGGAACAGCTACTCCCATCTTGCACAAGCAATGGCAGCCATTAGTATATAACTGAGGTACCAAACCGACCCACAATACTTCCTTCCTTCCCTATCTTTTCAAGGATCCCCACAAATTTAAGCGTAAACAAAGGGCTGCCATGGCCTACGGTCGCCAGATTCTGAACGCTGTGTCCACTGCCAAAGCTGCAGGGAAAAGCTTCACCACGGCTTCTAGACGAAACAAAAAAGCTGGTTGATAAACTGACGGAGTATCCAAGGTCAGTGTGGAATGGGAACTAGTGGGAACAGTGACAACCACATGAGCATCCTATGATTGGCAGGTGAATTTTTGTCCAATGCCACTGCGCAAAATGGACGAGAAATTGTTTACAAAGACGGGCCTCTGCAAAAAGAACCATAAGTGGCTTCAACAACCCTAGTCAACCCCAGTGGTACTTGCAATCCCTGTCATATTATCTTATATCGGGATATGTGGACATTGAATCATTGGGCATAACTAGACTAATGGGGGCATCATAGTGTTTGGAAAGAACTGTAGAGTTTGTTTTATTATGGTGGCTTGCGATTCCTGCAGGAAGGATTGGACACCAGGAATTCCACATGACATCTCCAATGCTTGGGAGGTTGGCCTTTCCTTAATAGGGAAGATGAGGTTTAATCCATTAGAATTGGGACTACCCCATTTCTCAGACAAACCCACGTGAACTACAAATGGTGGTTCATGATAGCAACTTACCATGCATATGGAACGGTTTATTGGTTCATGCTTGCAATGTATCTGCCTTTTTAAAACACAACAATCCTCATTCGGTTTAGTGGATCCTAGCCATTTCGTCTGTGCTTCAAGCTCTAAAACTCTCTTCTGAGTATGAAGAAAGACAGACTAAAACCACACAGACTGTGGGTTTGCGAAGGTTGGACTGTACCTCTTCTGGATCGAGGTCCCTCGGGACCGGCTCCGGGATCGGCCTCCCGGCCCCCCAAATCTGGGGAGATCGGACCTGGAGATATGGGGATAGCCAGCCATAGGATATGAATCATGGTCCATTCTCACCAACTCAAGATGATAAGTTTTGTTGTGAACACCAGCGAAAAAGCAGGGTTTGAATAGCCGCATAAAAAACTGCAGACGTGATTGGGATGATTGGGGCCCCAAGTGATTACGTTTCCCTATCTTGTCCAATGGGTTTAAAAAACAACCAAGAAGGTATAGCGCGCATTAAATCAAAACAAAACAATACAATGATGATGTAGAAAAAGTGAGTACTGTATATCATTGACAGCATTCTAGATGTTTCATCAGCACTTTTTTGCTCCGGAAATGGTGGAGCCCCCTTTGCAGGGGGAAACCAATGGGGTTGACTGGGTTGATTGCCGAACAAATCTTTGAGATTCCCAATGACGAACAGGTGAAGTGACCACACCGCCTTTGCAAATAACATATTTTCACAACGTGCTTGGATTTGTTTGGGCGATTTTTCACACCCACATGTCACACGCACGAATGAGTCATGTCAATCCCAGGGCCACAACCCCCAGCCCCAATTGATTTTTTCTGGGTCAAGATTATCGATGAGTGAATCCCAGTTCGCCTCCAATCCCCGTTGCAGTAAAACCCATTACATATCTATATCGGAATCCAATGAATAGAACCATATAGTATAATCTATATGCGCAATAGAATCCATTAATGGGTGTCACCTGTTAATACCATTAAAATTTCATATCTATCTATCTATCTATCCATCTATCTATCTAATCTATTCTAATCTATTCTAATCTATTCTAATCTATTCTAATCTATTCTAATCTATTCTAATCTATTCTAATCTATTCTAATCTATTCTAATCTATTCTAATCTATTCTAATCTATTCTAATCTATTCTAATCTATTCTAATCTATCCATCTCCATCTGTCTGTCTGTCTGTCTATCTATCTATCTATCTATCTATCTATCTATCTATCTATCTAGCACCCTTTTTCATGAATTCAACGTTTCCACCATGAATTTCCTCCATTTTTCTGTGTCATTCGCGCTTAGCGCCAGCCCCAGGGAGCTGAGCGAGCGCGTTTGCATCCAGCTCGCTATGGACCGCTTTCGTCTCACGTTTTCTACACTTCGAGCCTTGGCTGCCAGCCGGCGAAATCACGGAATTGAACCAGAGAAAATTGTGAGTTCTGGTAAATCTTGATGGTCAGGTTTCATCGTTTTAACGTTTGACATTTTAGCGAGAAAAAGAGAGGGGCATATGCTATCATATGCTAGAATCATCTTCTCATTGATGTAGTTTCTACGGTCAACCATGAACTCAGTCTAATGGTAGATTTTTGGTGGAGGGCAGATGCCTCCATAACCCCCGGATCTTCTCTATGGATGTAAGACCCTGTGGGATTGCAGCTATGAGGACATAAGTTGTTTTTGAAGGGTTACAGGGTCTCAGCCCGTTGTGCTCTGCTTTTGATGGCGAGTTTGGTCACACAGTAGTGGCAGATAGTTTAGCTACCACGTATGACACATCCCCATAGAAAACCTGGTTTGGTAGTGGTTCTGTTCATCTTGGGGACCCCTATGTGGGAGGTATTTATAGGTATAAAGTATAAAGTATAAGGGGGATGGGATTAGAAAGCCCCCAAACTCAGGGAAAGGTGGACCCTGCGAGGTAGCACTGAAAATTCTTGGGCTGTTTCCCCTCAGCTTGGTCCCTGTCACCCCCGAAAAACCACCGGGGACCAAAAGCCACCGGTCGCTGTCAAGATCTCCATCCCACTGGCCTTGGGTTTTCACTAGGATCTGGCGTGGTCTGCAGTTCTCCCAGAAGACTCTCCAGTGTCGCTGGCGGCCATTATTAGCCATAGGGATTTCACCATTTTGGAATTGGAAAATCAGCAGTTTGTAGATGATTTTCCTGTTGAACATGGCTTTTTTCCGTTGCCAGGTTTGACTACTGGGACTGTTTTGCGACCTCAAACCTCCCCATGAGCATCTTGCCATGGGACCTTGCTGAACTGCTTTCCATAAATGTTTTTTCTTCTGCCAAACTTGGAGCAATATTTCCCATCCCGCTAAACAAAACAATGCAGGGTATTCAAAGTTAGCTATATTTATAGGTTGACACTTAGCAACCATCAAGAGTGGACCCTGATGGTTTTTTCGCAGGTCAAAGCTGGTCAAAGATCTAGTGCATGTGAGGACCCAAGGCTTCCAAGGCTTCCGAGGCTTCCAAGGCATCGAGGATGGCATGGTTCCACCTGGAATAATCATCCCCACAGGTCTGCTGGAATCCACAAATGTTCTGCTGGGCTTTTCTTCGGATGCCGTGATGGGTCACATGGGTCAACACCTACCATAATTTGGGGCTAAAATTTCCGGTTTATTCTTATCTAAACTCAAGAGCCCTCTTTGATCTTGGATTAGTTTAGATATGTTTAGATAAGTTTTTCTTAGCTAAAGATCTATCTGGGCTCTTGAGTTTGGATACCCTCTGGTAAACTAACAATTTGCTATGGAAAATCACCATTTTCAATGGGAAAATCCACTATTTTGATGGTCATTTTCAATAGCTATGTTAGTCATTACCAGAGGGTATATCCCAGTAAATCCCACTAGATACCAATTAAGTCACCATTAAATCCCATTTAGTGATGTTAAAATCCCATTAAATCCCATTTAGTAAATATTCACATCAATGGATCCCAGCTATTTCACTCATCTGCCTGGATGCCAGGCGCGCGGCGCGGGCAGCACGGCAACTGGGCTTGCTCGGCCGTGGCAGGCCTCTTTTGTGATGTTTTTTTGTGGCCCCAGGATGGCTTTGAAACACCATTAAAATACACCATTTGGGTATAATTATATATATATATATATACATAGTACGGTAAACCCAATGATCATAAATTTGAATAAACCATGCAATATATATACATATACACATATATATATACATATATACATAGTATAATGTGGTAAACCCAAGAATACACCATCCCGAAGTCAGCAAATAATTTTGGGGATTTCGACCATCCTCTTTAGGACGTCCATCTGGCGGCCCTTCATGGCAGCACATTGGCGCCAGGTGCGATGGTATGCTGTGGTACCCGAGGGGTTACCGGAGCTACTGTGCTTTTTTTTGGGCGTTTTTTCAGCCTGGAATGACATTGCCAAATTGTTTGGTGAAGAGGATGTTTAGCACAACCTGAAAAGTATGTGACAATTGAATTGTATAGAAATTGTATCCAGGATTGGCTGAAAACCACATTGCTGCCATATTTTTTCAGTTGGAAAAACAAAAACAACAAACAGTGAGATATCCAGGAGAAAAGTGGGCTGCAACAGCCAACAACCGATATCTCGCCCTCTGGCACCTTTCACATCGAGAAGTGACATGAGTGGAATCTTCTCATGACAAAAAAAGTGATAAAGACAATCAACTCGTTCATATTAACCAGTATATATTCATCTCTATAAGCCATTGTTGTATAATTTCATTTACTCATCATTGTCAACCACTATTAACCGCTATTAATCACTATTAACAATTGTTAACCACTATTAAGAACCATTAACCATTGTGTTTCACAATAACCACTGTGAACTCGCCAGGGCGATTTGTACGCCAATCCTGCGGCGCGGAAAGCTGTGCAGGTTTTTCTTGGGGTGTGTTATGTCGGATCACATCATGGGGGTATGACGGGAACTGATTCACTGATTCAATGGGGGTATATCCCCTTACATAGGCCTTATATAGGCCTTATATATGGTAGGTACCTCCATTTTAGGTTCCTGAAATGGCCATTGACTGATAGTGTATTTCATCATGGGAATACCATGGGAATACCACGGGAACATCACTGTACTGATTCACTATGGAATATTACCATGGGAATACCAAAATAATACACGGTTTTGTTGGGGTTATATTATCGTGTAAAAATGTTTGTTGGTTTCAAATGTCCAAAATGATATGAATCTACTCATCTAACTGAAAAAGTCCCACATGTATATGTATGTATATACACTAATATACGCAATTATACTGCATGGGTTCTGTATTGTTAGTTTTCATCATCCCTGCTTCTGGGGCCAGCGACATTTGGGTTTGACGACAATGGGGTACCCGAAAACATCCACTGAATCATATTTTCCCTATTCAACTAGCCATTTTAATCCGTTTTCGGCATCCATTTTGCAGAAACAGGTCGAGAAAGCGAAAGTTGAAAATTTTGGACCTTTGCTTGGACGCCTGCTGCGAGAGAGAGGTCTATCGAGGCTGGTTCGCACTTGGCACTTGGCACATCTGCGGCTGGTTTTCGCATGTCTGGGTCCGGGTTTACGAAAGCCAAGTGGTTCCGATGCCTGCAGCTGTGTTTTCAGCTGCAGGCTCTTTCTGATGACCAATGCTCGAAGCGAGGCCAGGGTTTGATGCTTTTTTGGACGGCTTTAAAGGAACCGTTAGATCTGGTGATATCGGTTTTGACAGATCCCTATTGGCAAAGCACCAATACTTTTCCGATCATCCCAAGTGGTCGAAAAAGTGGTCGCAGAATGCTGTTAGGATCATAAGCGTACGCCGTAAGCCATCCTACTTGTGGGGTACCTGTTGGGTCCACACTTAAACCGTATAAGCCTTTATTTGTTGGTAGAAGATCCTAGTGTTTTCACTGTTTTTTCTGTTTTTTTGTGGCTCAATGTTACATTAACTGGTTTGGTACCAACTCATCTTTTGCTATGAAGATACACCTGGTGATTTTTCACCGTTTGCTATGAACTTCATGGTTCATTGGCAGGTGATTTCCCTCATTTTGCCGCAAAAAACGGTGATTTTCTCACACACGATGACTTCACTGGAGTTTCAGAAGGATCCCAATGGAAGCTGACGGCAGGTGGTGCAGAAACTCAGGGAAGAACTCAACGGAGTGGAGCCGGGATCCCAGGAAAATCCATCATTTTGGGGGGGGCGACATCGGATGAATTTTGGGTGATAGTAAACCACCAAAGATGCAGAGTCGTAACATCCAAATGCCTGAATCAATGGTGAAGTTTAAACACATTTTCTAAATATTTTTTGGGGTTACGATATATATATATACATATATATATCTTCTGCTTGCAGACTTTTGAAGGTGAGGTGTGAATTTGCAAACATCCTTGGGCCGTCTTCGCTCAAGATTCATCTTGTTGGTCTTCTCCTGATCCATGGACCAATCCACCTTGCTGGTATCTCTGGTGTCTTTTGCTGCTGGATTCCTTGCGCGGGGGTCTTTGTTTGAGGGTAAGCCAGAGGCACAGACGTGTCACTGTAACTGTCAGTGGACTGGACCATCGAATCAGGAACCTGCGGTCAATAGTGTGTATCCATCAAGTTTTTCGGTACCTCTGTGGGCCTTGGCCTTTGTTGTCCTTACTATCCTTCTCTTGAGCAACGCGGCGCTGGTCTTCAAGATCTCCATCAAAGATAGTGCTGGTTCAGATAAAGAGGTCTCTGTAGGTTTCAAGGGCAAGAGCGGAAAGGGGGTACTTGGTGTAGGACGAGGTCTATCACTTACTGGATAAACAGAATGACGTTTCAGCCTGGGCAGCTATGCTATGTGGAGTATGGGGAGGTTCCAAGAGTCACCCACACCCGGCTCATCTTGGGCCACATCCAGGAGCATGAATACCTGATCAGGACGCCAGACGGCGACGAATACGTCGAGGGTATGGATCCATCCAACCCGGACTTGTCTGCATTCTTCATAGGACCTGACGACGGAAGTCTCCCACTAGGAGTGGCGGTTGCATCTGTGTACGGTTTCGCCCCAATGACAGTAGCAGAATATAACGCCATCCTAGCTGCGGGGCGAGCAGAAGTGGACAGGGAGTTAGTTCGTCGAGGCTTAGGTCCTGGGCATGCGCCTGAAGCTGGAGCGCAAATGGTGTGGGTGTTGGCGGAACATGTAGAGGGCAAGAAGATTGGTGAGCAACTTTCTCCACCTTTAGGTCACCCCAGGGATGGATCTTATGGGCTCATGCAGGTTGCAGATAAAGATGGGAGCTTCCGCTCATGTCTCATTCGACAGGTTAGGGTGGATGAGATACCCACTTTCTGTGAGGAACGTATAGCATTGGCAAGGTCTAGTGAGGCATGCGAGGGCGATGACCGACATGCCGGGGAGGACGTGAGAACCATGGAGGTTAGGTACACAGTCAACGGAGAGCGTTTTCGCAATTTTCGAGAAGCTGTTTCAGAGATGCAACAGGTGGAATTTGAGGATTTTCCTTTGTCTCCTCGTACATCTCTTCCTTATCTTCGTGCTGTTTCCAGTGTTGCGGAGAGCGCTTTTGGGCAGCATTTGGCTTGGGTCTCCCAATCCAAGATCCCTGACGGGGATCGGGCCATACATGAGAATGAGATTTTGAGCCGAGCAATTGATTTGGCGATCCAGTATGATTCCCTCAACATCTCGAACTTGGCTTCTTTTGAACTGTTGATCCGCAGAAAGCAGCTGTTGGCAGAAGCGCATACCTACAACCCCAGCGCCCCGTCATATGAAGGGGCTGACCATTTCCTGGGCACGACGTACCGGCCCGGTGGTGCCATAGTGGTTCCTGAGCTTTCCAAGCACGTCGCTGAGAAGTTGCACCAAGAGAGTCAGATCATGAAAGAGAAGAGGAAGCAGGCCGAGCTGAAAGGCAAAGGCCGTGGGAAACCAACTATTCCCCCCAAAGCCGATTCAAAAGGCGGAGGGGGCGGGGGCTCGTGAGTTCCCCTCTTGGGAGTGCCTGGCAGCGTGGCATTCCTAGAGCTTGTATTCTCGCTGCATTCATACCTCTGGGTGTTGGCCAAGAGGCATACTTTTCAATTTTGTCCATTCCTCGAAGATGGGAAGGGATTGGAGTAGCAGGGTTTTTCACGAACCTTGGAGGGAGGATAACCGACAACGAGATCTATTTCCTCTCCCAACCTTGGCGGATAAGGGCAAGCTTCAAGGGCAAGTGTGCCGTGCTACTTCCAGGCGTTTTCACTGTCGTGATCACATCAGGAGACGTGTGAACATGGCCATTCATGCGTTGAATTCACTTTATTTTGGCGGGAATTTGGCGGAGAAGTCTGAGGTGGATAATACCATGTCATTGCCTCTTTGCCAACGGGAATGTATCAAAAGCCTTGTTCAGTGTATAGCTGCTTTTGGCAGTCCTCCCGCTGGAGCAAGCCGCCGGGGAGCCTTGTCTGCGCTCCGGGCATCCAGCTCGGGCTATGAAGAGCCTTTAGCTGGAGTCGGGGAAGTTTGTAATATGGAGCTGGAGAGGTTGTCACTGCCTTCTGGTCAGGTGGCAGGTGTGGACCTTCAGAGCAGTTTGGAAGGCCCCTTGCAGGAGATGTTGTGCTCATACGAGGACTGGTTGCTGCAAGATGCCTCAACTTGGAGTGCCTTGTCAGAAGAAGCTTATCGTATTAAGCCTTATAGTGACCCTTGTCTCTCTGACCGTGCAAAATACATTGATTTTCTTAGCCATCTGCATCACTGTGGGATTCTGGGAGTATCTTCACAATGTCGGGGAAGGGTTGGGGCTTTTTGTGTCACTAAGAAACCCAAAATGACTGATGGGGTTTTGGTCCAGCGTCAGCGTTTGATTTTGGATTGTCGACAAGTGAACTTGCAGTTCAAGCCTCCGCCACACTGTGAACTTGGTGCTCTATCTGCTCTCACGGAGATTGTATTGGGCAAGGATGACACATTGTATGTTAGCGGTGCTGATATCCAAGATTGCTTCTATGCTGCTAGATTGCCACCTGGTCTTGCTGACTTCTTCTGCCTACCTCATGATATCAGCCTTGACGAATATTATAGAATCTTCGGTGATGATGCCTCCTTTGAATATGGTCGGTCTTGGGTTTCTCCTTGTATTACTGTTCTACCCATGGGGTTCTCTTGGAGCTTTTATTTGATACAGAAGTTGCACGAGCAATCAGCAATACAAGCATTGAACTGTTCACGCGACCGTCTGTTTTTAGATGGGTATCCAGCCCCGAAGCTTTCAGGTGAGTATGCTGCGGCAATGCCGTACTGTGACAACATCCACAGCCTGGCCTTGAGTGCGGAAGCTTGCCAGAAGGCAAAGGATGATATGACGGGTGTGTTGAAGAGCATGGGCTTCAGTATTCATGAAGATGAAGAAGCAACATATTATTTTCAGACTTTAGGTGGTGTGGTTGATGGGAAGAATGGGATTGTTAAAGTTACCCCAACCCGAGCGTGGAACATCATCCTCGCGTTTGAAACCCTCCTAGAAGACAAGGTTGACTGGGAGGTTCTTCGCCGGCTCTTGGGACACAGCATGACTATTTGCACTATTAACCGTTGTGGTATGTCGGTTTTTCGCGCTTTGTATGATTTCGTTGAAGATGCTCCTCCTCCCCGTAGACTAAATCAACGTGAACGTCAAGAAGTACTCAACTTCATTGGTATTGTTCCTTTGCTGTTAGGGTACATGAAGCGGGATTGGAGCACCACAGTGTCATGCAGTGACGCAAGTCCACAGGGTTATGGTGTTTGTCAGCGTGAACTGGATCCACCCCTGGTAGAAAGTTTGGGGGCCTGGCAGGACCGGTGGCGATTTCGGCATCTGGATCCAAGCCAATGGCGCCCTCGAGAGCGCTTTGCAGGACTGGACCCGGTGTCGGATGTTCGCACAGCACGGTCTTGTGGGGTGGCTGAAAACATTGAAGACTTCTACTCATACAATAACTATTTTCCTGAGGTTCCTGACATGTTTTAGATGCAGATCAGTGGTCCACAAAGCTGATGGGCAAGTGGGGTCACACTGGCGATCACATCACGGTCAAAGAAGGGCACTCACTGGTTTTAGCTGTCAGAAGACTCTGCCGCTCTGGCTCCTCCAGGGGGAAACGGCATTTGATTTTTATCGACAGTTTCTCTTTGAGCATGGCAGTTTGCAAGGGTAGGGCTACTAGTTTCAAACTCCTACGCATAACCCAACAACTTGCTGCTTTGAGTTTAGCTGGTGGTATTACGGTTAGAGTTAGATGGGTACCTTCCGAGCACAACGTAGCAGATGGCCCCTCTCGCGGGCAAGTCTCGCCGGGTGCTTTCTGCCCCGGCCATGGCTCTCAAGGCGCATCAGCCGAAGACAAAACTGAATGTTCCTTTGACCAAGCCGAAGGCAAAGGCCTCCCGCCGAATCCTCTCACCGTCTGCACCTTCAGCTGTCACGGCGAAAGCGACCAAGAGGAAGTTGAGCCATCCTGCCCAAAGCAGGGTATCCAAGAGACCTTGCACACAGAGGACCCTTTCCAAAAAGGTGGAAGTGTCAGAGGAAGCATGTGGGTTGGCGAAAGCCAACCGTCTCACGCATCTAGAGCGGAGATCAGTCTCGAAGGCGGTGGAGAACCAGTACGCCGGCTATTACCTGAAGTTTGCGAATTTTTGCAAGGAGCATGGTCTTCAGGCACCACCAAACGCACTCACAGACGAGCACCTGGCGGAGTACATGGACCACATTTTCTGGCAGGGAAAAGGTTTGAGCGAAGGGGAAAAGGTCTTGGCCAGCGTCGAGTACCAGCATCACTCTCTCAAGGGTGCATTGAACAGAAGCCGAAGAGCTTTGAAAGGATGGCGGAAGGAGCGCCCTCCCGCCAGCAGAGTCCCATTGCCACGTCTGATCGCTTATGGCATGAGCATGGCCATGGTAGCGAAAAATCAGCGAGAAATGGGGCTCAAGCTGATTCTAGACTTCGACACCTACATGCGACCTGGAGAGAGCCAAGATCTCAAAGGTTCAAGCTTAGTCCCTCCAGTGAAGGGTGCAGGTCCACAATATCGCTGGCATCGGATTGTCGTTCGGCCTTTCGACGAAGGCCGTCCCGACAAAGTTGGCGTGTTCGACAACAGTTTGGCTCTCAACAGCCAAGGAAGAGTATGGCTGGGAGAAGTCCTAGCAGCCCATGTCAAGACCCTTCCGAACAAAGGCAAACCAATCTTTTCCTTCACCTCGACGAGTTCCGCAAAGAGTTCCAACAGGTGGGGGAAGCGCTGGGGCTGAAGAACCTTCATCCATACCAACTTCGGCATGGTGGAGCGGCGGAGGACCTCAACAGCAAAGAGCGGGATCATCAGGCCGTCAAGGCCAGAGGGCGTTGGCATGCAGACGCCAGCGTTCGAAGGTACACCAAGGTGAGCCGGTTGCAGCAATTGATGGGCCGACTGTTACCCGGCAAGCTGGAGTATTGTCGCTGGTCTCAAAAAAACCTGGAGAAAGTCTTTCGGGGACAGCTTGCAGCCCGCAAGCCTTGAAACCGGAAACAGTGGATTGCTTGCAGTCTCACACCTTGCCACATCGGTTCTCACTAGAAGTGTTTGCTGGCACAGCTCGGATATGTACTGCACTGGGAAAGGAGAAAATACAGTGTTTTCCTTTGGATATTTGTCTCAACCCCCAACATGATGTTTTGCAGTGGCGTGTGGAGCATCGAATTTTCAATTGGATCCGAAGCGGTCGTGTGCAATTTATTTGGTGCGGAATGCTCTGCACTTCTTTCTCTATTGCGCGCAAAAAAGATGGAAAGGGCCCGGGACCTCTACGTAGCCGCGAATTTTTATGGGGGCTGCCAAACCTAAGTCCTGCGGACCAGAAGAAGGTTTCTATTGGTAACCGTTTGCTGATGTTTTCAATGCGCTTGCTGCAGCTCTGTGAACATGTCGGCATACCATATATCCTTGAGAATCCTGAAAGCAGTCTGGCATGGAGCATGCCGCCCATGCAATCCTTTTTGCGACGTTTTGCTCCTTTTGTGGTGGGTTTAGATTATTGTCAATTTGGAGAGCCTTGGAAAAAACCGACACAACTGATCTCAAACTTTGATATCTCTTCACTTTCTCTGCGGTGTAACACGTTTCAACAACGGTGCAGCCGCACCCAACGGCCACATGTGCCTCTGACAGGAGTTGACGATGCTGGCATCTTCATGACGCTACGAGCTCAACCCTATCCATGGCAGCTGACGGCATTAGTATCAGCTTTAGTGGCCCAGTTCCTTAAGGATAAGGGATAAGGGAATTTGATATGAAGTTTGGGTGGCACTCTCCTTTCCATCATCCATAGCGGATGTATCCCCAAACTCCACTTTTGAAGATGGAGTCGAGAACCTTTCAAACTATTCGGGCCGAAGGCCCTGTCTGGCCAAAAGAGAGTGTGCAATTGAGCTGCCGACTTTCATATCTTCTGCTTGCAGACTTTTGAAGGTGAGGTGTGAATTTGCAAACATCCTTGGGCCGTCTTCGCTCAAGATTCATCTTGTTGGTCCACCACCAACCCCTGCCACCAACCGGAATTTGATATGAAGTTTGGGTGGCACTCTCCTTTCCATCATCCATAGCGGATGTATCCCCAAACTCCACTTTTGAAGATGGAGTCGAGAACCTTTCAAACTATTCGGGCCGAAGGCCCTGTCTGGCCAAAAGAGAGTGTGCAATTGAGCTGCCGACTTTCATATATATATATAAATGGATTACACCTAAACGTAGTTTATCAAGGTCCTTATGTTAAACATTGTTCCAGAATGCTATGGACAATATTTTCACGACACAACCTACAGGTTTCCAACTGACTTACTTGGAAGGGTGCTATGATGTAAGGCTCAGTTTGATCCATCTTTTCGTGGCTTTGAAGAAATGATACAGATAGCCGTTTCCATTTACCCAGTAATCAAAGATGGCAAAATTGTCAATTCCCCATGGATATTTTCGATGATTTTCCCATGAAATATAAGCCATATTTATGATTTCCCAATCTCAGCAGCCCAGTGGCTGGGGGGAGTTCCCAGCCATTGTTACAATCCGCGACCAGCGTGATTTCACCATGATTTCACTCCCAGAAAACTTGGGCGACTGGATCTTCCCGGAAAAAAAACCTGATGGGCTATGCGGCGAACTCGGCAATCCAGCCAGTGTATATCTGGTACATCACCATTTCTGTTGATTCTGGTACTTGCGGTGGTTTTTTTCGCTTGTTTTTGCCGGCCATGTCACCCATATCACAAAAAAATCCCAGAGTCCCAGAGCATTTCGGTTGGAGAAGCATCAACAATTAGAACCAAGCATAAAAATATGGGATACACCAGGTCAACCAATGTTTTCCTGCTTGCCGGCACATGAAAAACATCTTCGTGATGATCCCGAGAGATTTTGGGGAAACTCCACCAGCTCTACCCTGAGTCTACCTGGTGGTTTCCTGAGATATACACCCGCAGGGGGCCAAAGCCACCCGAAGTTTCAACACTTTTTGGGGGACCCCATGAATAAATTCAGTACATTCCACCCCGGTTTCTGGATGGACTGAATGAGCGGTTTTTTAATTGTTTCGCATCTAACTGCAGATACATCCACTGTAACCCTGAACTGTATTACCATAGTCATACCCTCCAGTAATCAAACATGGCAAGTTTTCAACTACACCATTTAGTTCGATGATGTTCCCATTCACATGCACATTTATTCATAGGGCGATTTCCCAGCCAGCCATGCTTGATGAAACCAGCCCACTGAGGATCTACCAGGCACCCTTGATGCGCGGCCACGAGAATGCCCAACGGCAGCTTTGCGCCGCCTGGTTGTCCAAAAAACGGACAAACAATTGGGTTTGATGATTCAAAATTGATGAACAAGGGGGGCATTAAAAAAGGGGATTAGATGATTTTCTGATGTATTTTCTGACAGAAAATTGGTGAGTTAGATGATTTAAGCATCAGAAAATCGGGGGATTTAGATGATTTAAGCCGCGCAAATAAACAAAAGAAAGGGGGTTGACTGATTTGAGCCGCCAACATGGGGGCATTGAACCATCAACATGGGGATTTTTAGGAGACCACCTTTGCTATTTTGGATACCACTGGGGCTCATTTTGATGTATATAATAGAAATAGATAAATTAGATTCGACTAGATTTTAATTTGGTTTGATTATAGATATAACAGGTACATAGACAGATTGATAGATTAGATAGATAGCTCAACATATCTCTTTGAACAGATCTGCATTTAATATGCAGTATCTAATATCCCGAAGCTATACCTATCTATCCGGAAGCTATTAGATCAATGTTGGAATCGATCTTGTGAGTAATAACCATATCACAAGCCACTTACTGTATATGCTATACACCAGTTAGATATAAGTCACTTAGAACTCCCCCCAGTAGATTCATATTGATATCCCATTCAATTCCATGAAAATATACCATCATTCAATTCCATGACTATTTGGGGGATGACATTTAGATACATAGATGTCCCAGATTCCCGACTGGCTGGTTGATTATAGGCTTCTCCCCATTCAGCAACCTTCATTGTTCTCCCATTTGGGTACCCTCTGGTAATTTGTTACATAGCTATTGAACATGGCCATTGAAATAGTGAATTTTCCAATTAAACATGGTGATTTTCCATCGTTTTTTCGATGTTTACCAGAGGGTCGATCGATTTCCGCAGGTAGAGATGGCAATCGCATCATTTGCGCAGTTCTTCCTTGCCTTTGGAGACGGCATCGTCCAGGGTCACGTCTCCAAACCTTCCCTGCTGACGATGCAAATGAGGCCCGTTCTTGGAGATGGGATGAGATTGGTACCCTTTGGTAAACGTTTACATAACTATGGAAAATCAGCGTGTTTAATGGGTCAATCCACTATTTCTATGGTCCATTTTCCATAGCTATTTTGACATAACCAGAGGGTAAACCCAAGACCAAACAATCCCGAATTGTGCTGTATGATTGGGTATACCCTGTTTATCCCTGTTTGGGATGATGTAAAATGCCAGAAAATGCAGCCATGGTTGGTTTTTATGGGATGGTGTCTGGCATTAGGTTTACCACATTGATTTATGTTTTTGGTATGTCTAGAAAATTGGTTTGGGTTACAAAACAACTCATAGGACATGGGATTGGAATAATAACTATGGAAAATCACCATTTATAGTGAATTTTCCCATGAAACATGGTGATTGTCCATGGTTTTTTGGAATAACCAAAGGAAATTTTCATGCGAAGAAACCATGGGGTGCCGAACGTGCCATTGGTGGCGTTGAGTCGGATGAACCCCCTGAGTCAGGCCCGCCCAGCAATAGGGGTTTGATAATCCTTAAAAGTCTTAAAAAAAGGGGGGGTTCATGGTGGTTACCCTCTGGCAAACTAACGTAACTATGGGAAAATCAGCATGTTTAATGGGTAAATCCACTATTTCTATGGCCATTTTCCATAGCTATGTAACAAATTACCAGAGGGTAATAGCCCTGAACAATGCCTTTGTTTGAACGTCGTTGATAGCCACTTTTCCTAGTAACGTTGGACATGGGAAATTTCACGTGTTTACCTCCGGTAGTCACATGTGACAATGGAAAACCCGCCGTTCAAAAAAACATCTCGAGGATTTTCCCATAGCCTCCATTCATAGGGGATTTCCCATTGCCACGTTTGATTACCGGAGGGGGTGTATCCTATTTTCAGACATGGGGGGCCGCCCTAAGATTTCCATGCTGATGGGTTTTTCTTGGCCAGGCTGGTAATATGACCAGACTTAAGATGTTTGAACCAACGCAACTGGATATACAACCAAGCTTTGAGCATGTATATATATATATGATATGATTTACATATAATACACAAAAAACATAAATGTAGAACCATGGATTTGCGAAAGGGGATTTAAGTGGGGATTCAAAATGGATTTTCAATTTGGATGTGCTGGACGCGGGTGATTTTCCTATTCAGAACTGGAAACTCTTGGTTTGTATGATCCTGCTTGAGCCAAATACTGTAGATCCCGTATATATATATATTATAATACACATGTACATTGTGTATTATGTACACACACACACACTCTATATATATATACATACACATACACAGTGTTACGGTCCGAAATATGTAGTTTCATCCGCTACTGAACCATGTTTTCTCTGAAGTGTTCACTCTGAAGTGTTCAGTATTTGTGGGCCCATGGGTACCCCCTGACCTGACCCATGTGGCAGCGTTTCTTGACTGGGTTGAAGCCATGTTTTTGTTGCTGAAAGCCAACATTTAGTTGGTAAAACTGCCAAATTCACCAATTTTTTGAAGGTCTAAAAACAATTTTCAGTTGAGTAAACCTCGATTTTTCATGCTTCCACCGTTCAAATCCAATTTTTCAGTTGCTTGGACCTGATTGGACCTCAACATTTTTCTTGCTAAACACTACAAGGTGGGGGGCCCGTTAAATATAGCTAAGTTGGTTTCTTTTCACCCCATAGACTAATATATCTAGCATAAATTTCAGTTATTGGAGTTATGTGTGCCAACTTAGCTCTCATCAATTCAATTTTAAATCCCTTTTATTGTTGGTTACTCTCCGGGAGTTTCACATAGCTATTGAACATGGTCATTCACTTCGTTGATTTATCTAGATTTTTTTACATGGTGATTTTTCCATAGCTACCAGAAGGTTTTTCCCAATCAACATACTCCAGAAGATTATCATATTGAGTAAAATCATATGATAATATTGCCAGTTAATCAACATATCAATAATATTTCCTATCATTAACTTTCATATTGCCAGGTTAAACTTGTTGGTTAAATCTCCTTTTTGTGAACCGTTCAGGCCATAAACCGCGGATCGGCAGGCTCCACTCCGGCGGCCTTTCCCTGGAACGCAACGGCTTCGCCTTTGCCGAAACAGAGCTCTTTGCCGAGGCCAGTCTGGGTGGGTGGTTCACCACATCTTTCAACATGAGAAGGTGAGTGAAAAAACCCACGATTTACCCTCTGGTAATTTGTTACATAGCTATTGAAAATGACCATTTATAGTGGATTTTCCCATTAAACATGGTGATTTTCCATAGTTATGTTAGTTTACCAGAGGGTATTGGGGTTTCAAGGGTTTTGACATGTTTTGACCATGGGTTGAAAAAGGGTTCGACTTTGAAAAAAACTGATGGTTGCCATAAATCCATGGAGTTTTCGGAATCAAGAGGGGTGTGATCAGCAAACTATTGGGTGTTCACCGTACAAAAAATAACAATCAAAAAAATGGGGTCTCAAGCATAAAACCTTCAGGGTTGACAATGAAAGTTTGGATTTCAAACAAAACAAAAGCGGGGTTTCAACAATCAAAGGCCGAGTTATTTGTTTAGTGGTACTGTAACAGATTTATGCCTGTCCAATATTTTTGTACAAAAAAATCATCCGCGGGAATGAGACATTTGACACATCGTGGTCTCACTGGTGCCGACCCTTGGCATTATAGTGTCCCCCATTGCGTTTTCGGGGTTGTACTTCTTCTATCCTCTTGGGGAAGACGAAAGACATGTAAATTATCCAGACGTTGTTTCATACTCAATGGCAAAAATGTGGACAGGCATCTGAAGGATGGACAGGCAAATCAATGGTCGACAATGGCATCAACATACCAATTGGATCCACTTGGATGCATCAATCTCAGGAGATTTTTCAGCAGAAAGGAGCTGCAGAACATGGTCGTATGGTCAATCCAATAGGAACCCCCTTGTTTCAGATTTATATCTAAATAGACCCCAATGATGGAATTGGGTATGGTCTTTATCAGGCCCGACTACCACAGTGTTCATAGACATTACCTGAGAATGTTAGTTCTGGTAACCTGTTAAATACCGAACTGAAATGAGCAGTGTGCCCCAACCAGGTGATATATTACTAACATACACGCGCATATACATTCAAATACAAACATATGAATGCATACACACACATAATATATATATATATATGATATATATATATATATGATATATATATATATATAAATATATACATATTTTACACATAAATGTATAGATTTATAACGATTTATACATTTATATACTTACTAGTACATAGATGTACGACCATCTACTAAAGCCGCACTTCGAAAAATCCGATATGATATGAATGGACACCTCTGCTGCTTCAGTTGGAGAACCTTGGAGAACCGGATCAAATTGCCACTTTCCCTGGTGCTTTTTTTTTCCCGTTTTTTTTTCTCCATCCCTTCCAGATCATCACATTTTTCCAGATATTTCTAGCGCTTTGCAATACATACGTTTTTTTTCTCCATAGTCTTTGTTCCAATGCTTCTCATTGATGTTTTCCAAATGTTCGCAATTTTGTTTTCTCAGATTTTGTTCTCACGTTTTTTCACTTGTTTTCCGCCTTCGAAAGGGGAACTGCTTCTTCTGTCAGGATTTGCTGGGGCTCTGAGTGCTGAGATGACGCCATTGCTGAGTGAAAATGGGACATGGGACAGGGCAGTTTCACCCCAAAATCAGGGTTTGAACCCAGTCAATTTAGGGTTTCACCAAGAAGATTTGAGTTCAACCAACAGAAATTGGGTTTTTAAGCCACTGAAACTGGCATTTAGAACTTTGAAACGGGTGAAATGAGATGACTTACACAACAAAAGTTGGGGGTTTAACTATCAAAGTAGGGGGCTTGTCAAAGAACAATGGAGGTTGGAAAATGGGGCTTGGTTAAACCCAATGATTTTTCAGCTTGAAGGGGAATGAAGATTCATGAGCAGCAGCTCTTTGGGTGACAGCAGGGTACCAGGATTTCATTTCGCTATTGGCCATGGCAATTTTGCAGTTCCACATATGTTTTATCTTCCATTCTTCCAAAATTTCGATACTTGGGGCCCATTTTACTCATATTTTTGGGTCACTGGGGCCACAAAGATACGCATCCCTGAGGTGCACGGGTCCCAAGTGACCCCTGTGTCACAGCTTGGCTCAACGCGCCGTTCGCTGCCGGGGATTGGTCAAACAAACCGGTGGTGGAGGTACGAATCCACAGCTTGGCCGAGCCGCATAATTTATGGTATAAGGATTGTGGGAATCCTTGCAACATGGCTGATTTTGATTTGGGACATCTTGTAATCTAAGCCCAGATTGATTTGGTCGCTATGGTCTGCGTGTTTTGATCCGCTTCGCCAACTGCTGTAGGGAAATGGTATATTTGGAAGTTGCGAACCTTATCTTCAGAATTTCTTCTGCGTTAAAGTAATCATTTGGTCTGGGTCCCTTTGCAAAATACAACCACCTCACTGGCCAACCTCATCATATGCTGCAAGTGCGCTAGGGAGAATCATCCGCCACATGGCTTAATTATTTTAGGTTTGGTCAATTTTGGTCAAGTGATATTATAATTCTTCTTGGAATCCCCATGTGGACATTAAAGATTCCCCGGAATCATTCCCAAATTGTTGTTTGTGCCCATTAATCCCCATGGATACAGTTCTTTCTTTGTTTGGAAACTCGATATACAGTTGGCCCAGAGTTCTTGGTCAAATCCAAGTGCTGAAATTTCAAGAGATCTCCAAGTTGTCTCTGGACTCCTCTTTGGTATTGGGAAAAGAACATCACCCTGGGACGAAATAAAGCCCTGGTAGTAGCTGAACTGGGGCTTTAAGAGCCAGGTACTTTTTTTCCAAGTTGGAGGTGACCAGTCTAATTTATTCATAAGGCTGGTTGCTGGCTTCAACATATTTACCCTCTGGTAAACTAACATACAATTGAACATTGCCATTTAAAGTGGATTTACCCATAAAAATTGTGATTTTCCATAGTTACGTTAGTTTACCAGAGGGTAATTCAGTGTTTGTGTTTCCCACTTAATATGTAATCATTGAGGACCCTTGCTGGAAGCCACCAGCAAGCTCCGGGCACAGGAGCCATGGCTCCAAAAGCAGGACGACGCTCCTGGTGGGTTGGAAATGCCGTGGAAAGAACCAACTTTGGTAATTTCGTGCCGACTGAATTCGCAAAACTGGGGATATAACATGATATAACTGACCTGAACCAACCATCACTGCTTAATGGAGGAACTAGCCGAGGTGGAGGTGCTGGACACCATTTTTTTTGCCGCGGCCATTTGCATGCCAGATCCCTCCACGAGTGGCGGGTTTTTGCAAAGACGAGATGATTCCGGGCGGTGGCTACATGGACAATCCGGGCACACCGCCTGGGTTGGATGCCATGGCCAGAACTGCCACGAATACAATCCCTATCCCCCCTGCGCCTCGCGCGTCAAAGAAAGGACATGGCCCAAATGGCCCCATGCGCAGTGGGCGCGGAGTGGCCGTTCCACCAGGCGCTTTGCAAGTGACACTTTCAGAGTGCACTGGCAGCACGCAAGCCTCGTGGAGTGGGACCTCTTCCTCCTCCGAGCCTGAGATGCTTGGATAATCTTGGATAATCTTGGATCAACTTGGATCTTGGGGTGGGAAAATTGACAGGACACCCCAGATTTCACGTGTTGGAAAGCTTCAGGTGAGGGTCTCCAGATTTGGAACAGACATCCCGGATACTCCGGGACACCCGGACACCTCGGTAAGCATGCCGACTCTCTGGGCTTCAAATCTGTGGGCACCAAAACCGAAACCTGAGAAAGATAAGAAGTCTGATATTAGGTACAGATAGAATGTCAGAGTGAATGCCAGATAGAATGCCAGATGGAATGTCAGAGTAGATGCCAGATAGAATGCCAGATAGAATGTCAGAGTAGGTGCCAGATAGAGTTCCAGATAGAATGTCAGAGTAGATGCCAGATAGAATGCCCGATAGAATGTCAGAGTAGATGCCAGATGGAATGTCAGAGTAGATGCCAGATAGAATGCCAGATGGAATGTCAGAGTAGATGCCAGATAGAATGCCAGATAGAATGTCAGAGTAGATGCCAGATAGAATGCCAGATAGAATGTCAGAGTAGGTGCCAGATAAAGTTCCAGATAGAATGTCAGAGTAGATGCCAGATAGAATGCCAGATAGAATGTCAGAGTAGATGCCAAGTAGAATGCCAGATGGAATGTCAGAGTAGATGCCAGATAGAATGCCAGATGGAATGTCAGAGTAGATGCCAGATAGAATGCCAGATAGAATGTCAGAGTAGATGCCAGATAGAATGCCAGATAGAATGTCCAGATAGAATGCCAGATAGAATGTCAGAGTAGGTGCCAGATAGAGTTCCAGATAGAATGTCAGAATAGAATGCCAGATAGAATGCCAGATAGAATGTCAGAGTAGATGCCAGATAAAATGCCACATAGAATGTGAGATAGATGCCAGATAGAATGCAGATAGAATGCCAGAGTAATGCCAGATAGAATGTCAGAGTAGAATGCCAGGTAGAATGCAGAAAGCATGTCAGAAGAATGCCAGATAGAATGCCAGATAGATGCCAGATAGAATGCCAGATAGAATGCCAGATCAGAGTAGATGCCAGATAGAATGCCAGATAGAATGTCAGAGTAGATGCCAGATAGAATGCCAGATAGAATGTCAGAGTAGATGCCAGATAGAATGCCAGATAGAATGTCAGAGTAGATGCCAGGTAGAATGCCAGATAGAATGCCAGAGTAGATGCCAGATAGAATGCCAGATAGCATGTCAGAGTAGATGGAAGGTAGAATGCCAGATGGAATGTCAGAGTAGATGCCTGGTAGAGTGCCAGATAGAATGTCAGAGTAGATGCCAGATAGAATGCCAGATAGAATGTCAGAGTAGATGCCAGATAGAATGCCAGATAGAATGTCAGAATAGATGCCCGATAGAATGCCATAGTAGATGCCATATAGAGTGCGAGATAGAATGTCAGAGTAGATGCCAGGTAGAATGCCAGATAGAATGTCAGAGTAGATGCCAGATAGAATGTCAGAGTAGATGCCAGATAGAATGCCAGATGGAATGTCAGAGTAGATGCCAGATAGAATGCCAGAAAGAATGTCAGAAAAGATGCCAGATAGAATGCCAGATAGAATGTCAGAGTAGATGCCAGATAGAATGCCAGATAGAATGTCAGAGTAGGTGCCAGATAGAGTTCCAGATAGAATGTTAGAATAGAATGCCAGGTAGAATGCCAGATGAAATGCCAGAAAAGATGCCAGATAAAATGTCAGATAGAATGCCAGAGTAGATGCCAGATAGAATGCCAGATAGAATGTCAGAGTAGATGCTAGATAGAATGCCAGATAGAATGTCAGAGTAGATGCCAGGTAGAATGCCAGAAAGAATGTCAGAGTAGATGCCAGACAGAATGCCAGATAGCATGTCAGAGTAGCTGCCAGGTATAATGCCAGATAGAATGCCAGAGTAGATGCCATATAGAGTGCGAGATAGAATGTCAGAGTAGATGCCAAATAGAATGTCAGACTAGATGCCAGATTGAATGCCAGATGGAATGTCAAAATGGATGCCAGGTAGAATGCCGGATAAAAAGTCAGAGTAGATGTCAGATAGAATGCCAGATAGAATGTCAGAATAGATGCCAGATAGAATGCCAGAGTAGATGCCATATAGAATGCGAGATAGAATGTCAAAGTAGATGCCAGATAGAATGTCAGAGCAGATGCCAGGAAGAATGCCAGAGTAGATGGCAGGTAGAATGCCAGAAAGAATGTCAGAGTAGATGCCAGATAGAATGCCAGATAGAATGTCAGAGTAGATGCCTTGTATAATGCCAGATAGAATGCCAGAGTGAATGCAAGATATATAGAATGCCAGATAGAATGTCAGAGTAGATGCCAGATAGAATGTCAGAGTAGATGCCAGATTGAATGCCAGATGGAATGTCAAAATGGATGCCAGGTAGAATGCCGGATAAAAAGTCAGAGTAGATGCCAGATAGAATGCCAGATAGAATGTCAGAATAGATGCCCGATAGAATGCCATAGTAGATGCCAAATAGAGTGCGAGATAGAATGTCAGAGTAGATGCCAGGTAGAATGCCAGATAGAATGTCAGAGTAGATGCCAGATAGAATGCCAGATAGAATGTCAGAGTAGATGCCAGGTAGAATGCCAGATAGAATGTCAGAGTAGATGCCAGGTAGAATGCCCGATAGAATGTCAGAGTAGATGCCAGATAGAATGCCAGAAAGAATGTCAGAAAAGATGCCAGATAGAATGCCAGATAGAATGTCAGAGTAGATAGCTGCCAGGTAGAATGCCAGATAGAAAGTCAGAGTAGATGCCAGATAGAATGCAAGGTTCCAGGTAGAAAAGGCCACAAAAGAAGTGTCACAATAGATGCCAGATAGAATGTCAGAGTGGATGCTACATAGAATGCCAGAGTTCATGCCAGGTAGAATGCCAGATAGAATGTCAGAGTAGATGCCAGACAGAATGCCAGATAGAATGTCAGAGTAGACGCCAGGTAGAATGCCAGATAGAATGTCAGAGTAGATGCCGGGTAGAATACCAGATAACATGTCAGAATAGATGCCAGAGAGAATGCCAGA